GGAAGGGAAGGGAGGCAACGGGCACCTCCAGTTCACCACTAATTGCAGGAGAGCATTAAGGAGATCTGGCTTTTCTTAATGACTTCCCATGAGAAAAGCCCATGCCAAGGGGTTAATTCTTCCCCCACGAGGTTAATTCTTCTGTGCAGGAGGACAGAGGTTGGGAAGTCAGCTGCTGTTACTCCGTGGTCTTAATATAGAACAAAAGGGTAGTATTTTGTCCCAGATTTAACAGCTGGGGAAATAAAACCCCTCTGGATGGCAGGAGGTGCTGTCACACACGACAGGGCAGTTCCAGGACAGTTCAGGACATCTGCTTGTTTTACAGCCCTGGAAATACATTAAAATCCCAGCTACGGTGCACTCAAATGGGAATGCAGAGCCTGAGTGAATTATTGATTGTTTTTCACATTTGATAAGGAAGCCAGGAGAGAACTGATGGCTGATATACAGAAATAGATTAGAAGCCTCCCATGGGCTGTAACAGAAGTGCAAGCATGAGAAGGTCTTAAAATAGCCACAGCTTTCACTTCTGGAGGTACGGAAGGCCACGAATTAGTGAAATACTTCAGGTGGGGATCCAGGGGGTGGGTCTGGTCCGTGACCCATGGATTTTTTTCCCTGTTTTCTCTCAGTGTCTGTGCTAAGTGCCCATAAACTGCCTTCCTTCATCTCCTCGGGCAGGCGTGGGAAGAAAATGTTCCAATCTAACAGGAAAGCCTCAGACAGCATTTAAAGATTGAGGTGTTCTCCGATCCACCCTTCCCCGGTCTCCGGGGAGACCGTTCCCGTGCCAGCCTGCATTTATCTATCCCTGCAGGGATAATTCCACTGATCCAAGGGGCTGCTCGGAGGATTTGCTGTAAGTGCTTTTTGGTTTTTTTTTAAACCACAGAGAGTGGTTTCAGATCTTTGGTGGTGGCTTTGTAGGAGCGTGGCTGGATCGTTCCCAGCCCTGAGCTCCTCACCTGTCCGGGTTGTGTGTGCAGCTGATGGACAGATGGACGGACAGCCCGTGCTCTGTGTGAGAATGCAAACAGCTGAGCCAGAGCTTAATCCTCCCCACCAGCCCTGACCTTTTTATTCATGCCTGCACCGGGCAGGAGCAGCAATCATTCATGGCTGTGGCCTGGGAAACAGCTGGAGAGAAACGCTGGAGTTAAATTTAAAAACGGTGCTGCGGGCGTGTTTTTTGCGTGTGTGAGGGGGCCAAACGAACAAAATCACTTGCCAGCCCATCACAGGCCAATTTTAAAGAGGAATCAGGTTTTTAAGAACATCAGTTCAGGCTTGCATGGCAGGTCCCTTGTGCTGAGTGCAGTGAAGGTTGTGCAGGAACATTTGCAGAACTGGGGCGCAGAGACCTGAGGGTGTGAGTGACTCAGGGCGAGTCAGGGCCGTGGCCACGAGCACAGACACAGCTCCAGCACCCTGGGAATGGGAATGGGAATGGGCTCAGCAGGAGCTGGGCAGGGCTGTCTGGCCAAGAGGCCAAGCAGTTGCTGTGGCAGTTCCCTCACCCCCCGTGCCGGGGGATGTGGCTGAGGAGCCTCTGCAGGGGCTGTGTCGTGCTGTGCCCTCAGCACAGATGGAGCTGCAAATCCTTTCCTGGCACAGAAATAGCCGTGTTTTATCCTAGCAGAGCAATTCCCACCCTGGATCTGGCCGTGCACTGTCCCTGGCCCCCTGCAGAACAAACCAGGCTAAAGCAGAGGAGCAGATTGACATCAGGGCTGCGTTTCCTGCAGCCTCTTTGAGCAGGAACCTGTGAGCGCACTCAGGAGGAACCTGGCTGTCCTGGCAGGAGGATGCACTGGAGAAACTGCTGTTTTCCATGGAAAATCTGGCCATTATATAAGAGAAAGGCTATGCCATCTGATTCTGTCTTCGAAAAGAAGGAATTTTTAAGAAGCAGAGCAAAATTTGAAATAAAACGCGTCGATTTGTAAATGTTTGGTAGCAAAAGGCGCTGCAAGACAGCAGATGGAGCTGTGAAAGGGGGTTTGGTTCTCTCCTGTCTAACACCTCCTTTCTCCAGCACTCTTCCTCTGTTTTAAGAATAACACTCCCTCAATAATGACTCACAACCAGTGCCACAAAAATCCTGGCTGTGGGAGAAGCTGCTGCTCGTCTGACGGGAGCTCAGGGAACACGGGCTTGTTCTGTCTCTGCTGAAATCACAGCTCGGGGATGGCTCTTCCAGAAAGTGGCCCTGCTTAGAGATTCCAGGCACGAGGCAATTATCTGTCTTGCCTTGCTCAGTGTAATTACTAGGTGTGGGTTTCTTCCTGGGCACCGAGGGGTGCCATGCTCGGTGTGGAATGGACCTTCTTGTGCAGAGCAAGGAGGTGAAAATTCCCCAGGAAGTCAGGCCTCCCCTCTGGGAAGATGGATAAACCCGTGGTGTACCAGCAGGGACTGGAATATTCCCCATATCCTGCTAGATCTCTGCTAATCAGAAAAGAGAAGATATCCTCTGCTCAGAAGGGAATAAAGACATCCTCGGGGATAATCCGGGAGAAGCAGCTGGCAGAGCTACAGCCCTCTATCACCTCATGGAATTTGCAGTTCTGTCGGAAGCTGAACCTTAGGAAAGGAGCAGTTTCAGACAGCCTGGCTGCCTGAGGGTGATGGAGCTGCCCTGTGCGATGGAGTTACTGCCAGAGCAGCTGCAGGGGTAGAAACACCTTTTTTTTTTCAATTATTGGAGCAGGGAATCGTGCTGGGATTCCTGGATTCTTCCCCCAGCTCTGCCTTTGATTTGTGGTGTGTGCAGACCCCTTAATTTGTGTCTGTTCTCCCCATCTGTGGAACTCAGATAAGATCACGGGGGAATTGCAAAGTGGGATTCATTAATGTTTATTAGGCAGAGGGAAATCCTTCAATGAATGGCGCTGTATTCCGGGAGGACAAAGTTCAACGCTGCAAAGGGGTCGATTAAATCCAAGTCTGCTATTTCCAGACTGGGAGGACAAAGAAAGAGAATGGGAAAACCTTACCTAGGCCTGTGTCTGCCAAAAGCTGTCTGGGATTTAAATAGAGCCAAGCAGACTGTGCAGATGTGAGCACATAAATGCGAATCTCCTGAAACCATTAAAGATTTCTTGGTAAATGTACACCAAAGAAAGCGTAATGAGGACGTGTTTGAAGTTTCCAGTGGGTATATGATCACCGTGAGCTGGGAGTTACCAGTGGCAACGTGGCATCATGAGGCAATAAATGTGGGATTTCCCATAAAGGGATGTAACAACATCCAGGGAATTGGCACGTTCCACTGGATTGGGTGAAGGAATCTCTCTCAGTTGTGGTGCTATAAATGAAACAGTCACTGCAACGCTGTCACCTCTCTGTAAGGAAGGGCAGAAACCCAGCTCATCAGGGGCATTTTACAGTGCCAGTTTGTCGACAGACTAAACAAATGTTTACAGGTTAGACACAGCTGAAGGTGGCAGCTTTTGGAACATCTTCCATCAGAGCGCATGTTCCCGGTGGGGAAATATTCACACCCCGTTGTGCCAGAAAAATTGATTTTCGGTAACCAGAGCCGGTGAGTGGCCTGAATTCGCTCCTGGTGTGACAATGAATTTATTGCGTGATTCTTGTCGCTGATAGAGCCCAGTGGAGGGTGAAACAACACAGCCAGGGTGTGTGAGGGCAGCAAAGGCTGACAGAACACATCAAAGCTGTGCTGTGGGGCAGATGGGGTTTGGGTGCAGCCGCCAGGGAGCTGGGCCGCGTGTTCAGCGTTCAGCGCTTGCCACCTTCAGGCTTGATGTGGATCCACGGGCGGTGCTGCAGAGGAGGCACCTTAATTCCTTCATCACACGGAGTTTTGGTGTTGCTGGTGTCAGCAGAGGTAGGATTTGTTACCCGCTGTGCAGGGGAGAGAGAGAGAGAGTTGGGCACTCGGTGGAATTCCACAAATCCAGCAGCGCAACTATCAACACTTTTCACTCTTTATACATTTCGGCAAACAAAGGAATTAGTGTTCGTTGGCTGCAAGTTACATAGTTCTCCTGTTAATTAGTATTCTGTCTTCTACGGTTAATGACTCTCGCTTCTGCTAATTAGTCCTTATGTTTGGTCTCTCTTCTTTTGGGTCGGTGGGTTTTTTGGGTCAGTGGTTCCGGACTCCCCGTCAGAATTACCTTTCACCCAGCTGGAGCTGATTTCAGAGCTGGCTTTATTACTTTCCTCCTTACCTTGGGCGTTTTGCCAGATGTCCCATAAATTCCGTATTCTTTGTGTCCACTATCAGTGGACATCCTTTATTCCCAAGCTTTGTTAACTCTGCCCAAGGTCTGAGACCACTGAAGCATGTCCAGCCCCAAACTTTAACAAGGCAATTCTAATTCTATCAACAAATTTGTGACACAAGACGATACTAAATGCCATTTTTTGGCAACGCAACCCCAAACTTTTACAGCGTCATCCAGGTTATTGTGGCAGGCTGTATAAGCTCCAGAGGATTTTTTTTTTTTTAAAGAGAAATATTGCATTTAATCCCCTGAAATATTTAAATCTTAGCTTTGGAAGTGTAAGAACTGTGAAGGACAATTAGTACTGTTAGTGGAAGGGATTTAAGAGCAACAGGAAAAATCGTTGACGGTAAGCAGGAGTTGGCGTAAATTTCTCGCTTTTCACACAGAAGAGGAAAAACTTTGGTGTGAGGATAAAATCCTCATCTGAGAGCGGCGGAACGTGTGTCTTTTAATCAGGATCGCTTAATCAGAACATTAATCCGCGGGCTCAAGGGTCGAACTTTGCCAGGGAACAGAGGTATTTTCGGTGGTGGGTTGGGAGTGGGTGAGCCTTGAGGTCCTTCCAGCCCTCGATCCTCTGCGATTTTGTGGTTTTATTTGTGATTTTATTTACGATTCACGAGTCCGAACCGCCGTGAGGGGCTGAGGGGAGGAGGGGGCGGAGCCTGAGGGGGCGGGGCCGCGCACGCGCGATGGGCGCGTGACCAGCGGCGGGTTCCGTGAGGGCCCCGGGGGTCCCCTCAGGTGGGGGGGTCCCCTCAGGTGAGGGGGGTCCGCAGGTGAAGGGGGTCCCTCAGGGGAAAGGGGGTTCGCAGGTGCCCCCCCCCCGCCCCTCCCGGGGACCCCCGCCATGGACGGCCCGGCCCTGCCCATCCGCCGCTCCCGCCGCGAGCTGGTGGAGGCCGTGAGGGAGCGGCCCTTCCTCATCGTCACCGGCGAGACGGGCAGCGGCAAGAGCACGCAGCTGCCCAGGTACCTCTTCGAGGCAGGTAACGGAACACACCCCCCCACACACAGCGGGACCCCGGGGGTGGGGTGTGAGCAGGGATAAAATAAACGCGGATAGTCCTCCTTGTCCCCTCAGCTGCGGGCTGGGCTGGGCTGTGCTGAGAGGAGGGTGATTGGGCCCCTTAAATAAAAAAAACCCTATTGCCATGTGTGTGTTGGGTGTGTAGGTGTGTGCGAGCTGGCTCGGAGCAGCGCAGCTCACGGTGCTGATAACTTCAGGGTCGTGGGTTCGATCCCTGTGTGGACCGTTCACTTAAGGACTTGATGGTCCCTGTGGGTCCTTTCCAACTCAGAATATTCTGTATAACCTCAGTGTCCCAGTTCATCTCCAATCACAGGGGTCCTTTCAGCCTGGAGAAAGCTCTGGGGTGACCCTGATGTGGCCTTCCAGTACCTGAGAGTCTCCCAGAGAGCTGGAGAGGGACTTTGGACAAGGGTCTGGGAGTGACAGGACAAGGGGAATGGCTTCAAACTGAAAGAGAGCAGGGTTAGATGGGATATTGGGAAGAAATTCTTCCCGGTGAGGGTAGGCAGGCCCTGGCACAGGTTGCCCAGAGAAGCTGTGGCTGCCCCATCCCTGGAAGTGCCCAAGGCCAGGTTGGAGCGGGTGGGCTGCTGGAAGGTGTCCCTGCCCGCGGCAGGAGGGTTGAAACGAGATGATCTTCAAAGATCCCTTGCAACCCAAACCGCTGTGTGTGACTCTGTGCTCTCCCCAGGCCTGGCCGAGCACGGGGCCATCGGTGTCACCCAGCCCCGGCGCGTGGCCACCATGTCGGTGGCGCAGCGGGTGGCCGAGGAGATGGGCTGTGCCCTGGGCACTCGCGTGGGCTACCAGGTCCGCTTCGACGACTGCACCTCCGAGGTAGGGCCCTGGGGGTGCCATCCTGTGGGAGCAGGGGGGGCAGTGGGCTCTGGCTCAGGGTTTGGACCCTGGGCCTCTCCCGTGGGTGTTGTGTGTGGAAGGTCTCAGAGCCTTGGGAAGTGTCAGCACCAGCTGTGGTGGAGCTGCAGCTGTTTGTGCTCTATAACTCATTTGGTGAAGTTTTTTTGAACGCATTGGAAGTGAAAGGCTGCCAGGCGCCGGTGCTGTGGTGCTCGGTCACCCGCAGTGCGGTCTGGGAGGGTGTCCTGGGAAAGGTGTGACGGTCTAAGTGTTTGCTTCACCCAGGGTAACTGTTAAATGTCTGATGAAACCTTTCAGGACACTGCCATCAGGTATATGACTGATGGCTGCCTGTTGAGGCAGATCCTGACAGACCCCCTCCTCAGCAAGTACAGCATCATCATTTTGGATGAAGCCCACGAGCGGAGCCTCAGCACTGTGAGTGTCACCTTATTTCTGTCCTTTGGGGTCACTGTTTCTCCGTTTTTGTGGTCTGCTTATACCTTCCTTTCACTTCTGCACAATCCCCAGGGATTTTGACTGACTTTTGCTGTCCTGAGACCATAGAACTTTATTATGTGCTCCATAATCTGAAAATCAGATGTGACCTGTAGCCCTGTTGCAATTGGTGTAGCTGTTGTTGTGTTTGAAAGCAGTTAAAGCTTTCCTGGCTGTGTTGGATGCTCTCCCAAAATTTCCAGGAGTTTGAAGCCAGCACAGTGAACACAAACTTTCTAGAATTTTTATTTTTCCACTTACAAACAACACCCTGAAACATCTTTTTTGCCCTGGTGTTTCTTAGGGTGTGTTCACAACTGTGCAAAGAGATTATGGCTTTTAGGACCATGGAAGTGGCCAGACTGACCTAAGTCCCAAAAGCTCTCCAAAGTCACTCTGACCTTTCAGTGGGCAGCACAGGGACACTCAGGTCACTCAGTCCTCAAGAGATTGTGTTGTGTGTCAGACAATCTACTGCTCCAGCAAACAGCCTGCCAGCCCAGCTGGGGACAGGGGAAAATGTTCTCTGAGTCCCATTTCTGCCCTCGAGCAGCTGAGGGTGTGGCAAATAAACTGAGCTAAGGTGATACAAGAAGTTGCTGCTCCATCACCTGTGTCCCTGTGAGGAGCAGGTTTTTAATGCAGACCACTCCAGAGTAAAATAAACTGGCTGCAGTCATCAGGAGAATATAAGTTACACTGGTTCTGTCTATGGGCTGTGAGAAGAGCTGATAAAAAAACTAATTAAATTCTAGAAACCAATTAGTGTGCTTACAAAATGACCAGGGTAAAATGTATGTTTTCTTCTGAGTGCTGAGGCCTGGAACACGGGATTTTCACTGTATCAACGGGACGAAACCAGTCCCTTCCAAGTGTTTCAGGCCTTTCTGAGAAAGCTGAGGTATTAACATGAGTTGCTCCTGCTTTCCTGTCAGGATATCTTATTTGGTTTGCTGAAGAAACTCTTCCTGCAGAAGAAACCCCCCGGCAGGAAGGCGGAGATGAAGGTGGTGGTGATGTCGGCCACCCTGGAGGTGGACAAGCTCTCCGAGTTCTTCGGGCACTGCTCGGTGCTGCACATTCCAGGGAGGAGTTACCCTGTCAAGGAGATCTTCTGTAACCTGCTGAGCCCCAGGGACGTGGGCAGCTCTGCCTATGTCACAGAGGTCTGGGGGCTTTGTTTTCTGGGGGTGTGCTCTCTGGTTTTGGTGGGATTTTTTTAATCTGCTGTGTTGTGTTCTGAGCATCCCTGCAGGAAGGAGGGAAGAATGAGTTAGTATGATGACTTTGAGGGAGGTTTGCAGCTGTTATTGGCTTGTCTGGTTTTGTTTCAGGCTGTAAAAGTCACCCTGGATGTCCATCTGAATGAACCAGAAGGCGACATCTTGGTCTTCCTGACAGGTGTGAGTTTTTCCTTCGACAACCCGTGGTTATCCCGGGTTATTCCATGGCACTGCCAGCAAAGCAGGCTGTCTGCTTTGGCCCACAGCAGTGAGGGGGGAAGGGAGAGGTGCAGGTTGGTGCACACAGTGATGATGTTCAGAGCACTTCAGGAATATCTGTACCTGTGAGATAAGAAAATCACTAACTTGGAAATCTGCATATTCTCTTCCCTTCTAGTGCCAGGTTGACTCTGTGTTCTCTACATGTTTTATTTTGTTGTTAATTCAGGAGGGGGAAATTCCATCAATGTGTAGGCCAGGCCCTTGGGCACTCATCTTTTTGGGAGCAGCCTCGGTGAGAGGCACCATGGAAAGGCTGGATGTCACCTCCTAAAATTAACTCCCATTACATCCTCCTTGTAATGGTGTTGACAGCTCTGTAACAATGACAAAACAATCTTGTTTAAAGATGTTGCAAACTAGGAAGGCAGGGTTGTGACTACTCAGGTGCTCTTTTGTGCCTTTCAGGTCAAATTGAGATAGAAAAAGCCTGTGACCTGCTCTTCAAGAAAGCAGAGTCCATCGATTACCGCTACGAGGTGCACGATCGGGCCGTGGAGGGATTGCTTATCCTGCCTCTGTATGGCTCAATGTCCACAGGTAAGAGCTTGTTAAGGCTGCCAAGGGGCTGAGTGGCTGTTCAGAAGAGCAGAGCAGCAATTTCCCCCTAAAAGTGCTGCTGAGAGGGAAGATCTTGTGAAGATCTGCAGAGGGAGCAAAGCTGATCTTTTGGAAGGAGCAAAGTTGCATAAAAGGAAAGTGTAGCTTCCTTCTTATTCCATGAAAGTGATTCTTGACTGAGAGTGATATTTTTTTAATTTATTTTGTGGTAGTTTCTCAGAGGACACTGTATTTGGATATGTTTAAATACACGTTAGAAAACCTTCCTTGAAGAGATTTTTATATTTTTCAGAAATAGAAAATAAGGAGTTTTCAGGGGAAAGTTGAATTTCCACCTCTTATTTTTGTTCCTTGGAAAGCCAAATGAATGGATGGGAACAGCACAGGCTGCTTTGGTACATGTTAAATGAGGATTTGCTGGAAGCAGGGTGGGGGTTAACTCATTTTTTTAGTGTTCACATTTATTTGCTCTGGGGGTTAAAACCCTTCAAATGCTTCATGAAGATTCTGGTCAGACCAGGCATCTTGTTTGTTCTCCTGGTTAGGAAACACCCAGGAGAGTTGGCCTTTTTTCCAAATCTGGAATATTTGAGCAATAAAGAAGATATTCCCTGATTTCTGGCACTTGCCAAAATAACACCAAATCTGTATTTTAGGATGTTGTGTGATTCACTTTCCAATGTCATTCCAGTGACTTTCACTCAGCATTTGAGTGACTTTGTTGGAAATCAGTGCTGGAACAGAAACCATTTGACTGACTCCCTGTCGTTTCAGATCAACAGAAAAGGATATTTTTGCCAGCTCCTCCAGGCATTAGGAAATGTGTGGTGTCCACAAACATTGCTGCAACATCTCTGACCATCGAAGGAGTCAGGTACTGCTTTGTGTCCTTCATGAAAGCTGTGACAGAGGGGATAATTCAGATGGTTCTGACTTCCCTCCCTTTCTGTACCTGCCCTGTTGTCTTTTTAGTGTGTTAGTACCACTATATAGTCTTAGAGATGACTGATATTTTTGGACCCTGATTTGAAATCAAATCTTGGCTTCACTATCTAAACCCTGTGTGCTGAGACTTCTCTTATTTTCCCTCCCTGAATCTTTTTTCCCCTCCCTCAACACTTTTCTTGTTCAGGTACGTGGTGGACAGCGGGTTCGTGAAGCAGCTGAATCACAACCCCCGAGTTGGTTTGGACATCCTGGAGGTGGTTCCCATTTCCAAGTAAGTTTTAAAAAAGTGTCTTGGTGTTTGTCCTGGGAGTTGCTCTGACAGCACCACGTATTGGTGGATCTTTAAAAAGAAATTAGTAATTAAAAAGGCGAGGAGCAACCTTGGGGTTGCGTAATTTAAAGCCGTTTTGTTTGTTGCTACGTAGGGAGTGGTCGAGGAGATACAATTTTCTGTAAGCTTCAGACATTAAGGAGGAACTGACAGTGCATTGTCTGCAGCCTGAACAGGGGCTCACATGTCAGGGTGTTTGAATACAACCACCTGATTCGGAGAGGCTTAAAAAAAAAATCTCCTGTGCACCAAAATGCTGCTTCTGCCCCTCCTCACTTGCTGCACAGTAAAATATCCTCCACCTACAAGCACAGAAATTGCTGTTATTTGTCAGAATCCCCCCGTGGGTAATGACAGAAGGGATTAAGAGTTTGGATGCTGGTGTTTCCCTTGGAAGGAGCGAGGCGAAGCAGCGAGCGGGCCGAGCCGGCAGGACCTCGTCCGGGAAGAGCTACCGGCTGTACAGCAGGGAGTTCTGGGAGCAGTGCATGCCTGACCACACCGTGCCAGAGATCAGGAGGACCAGCCTGACATCTGTCATCCTGACCTTGAAGTGCCTCTCCGTGCATGATGTCATCAGGTGACCTGTGTGCAGGGGATTATCCGCGGCTCCCCCAGTCTGGGCAGCGCGGCACCCGGAGCCGGCTGGCAGGAGGCAGGATTAGGGTCCCCAGCCAACTGTGACACTTCAATTCAATCAGCTTTGCTGCTGTTCTCCCCAGCCTGTGATCCCAGGTTGGATCTGGAGCTCAGGTTTGGGGTCCTGCCAAAACTTGGCTCGCTCCAAAATTCAATCTATAGTTCGCCGCCTTCCTGTAAAATATTGATGTTTATGCCCCAAAAGCTTCGCCTCTGTGGGGTGGTTTAATTTTAAGATCATGCAAGTGCAGAAAACACAGTTTAGCTTTGTGTGTGCCGTGCTGGGGTTTGTCACTAATCAGAATTCCCCAGCTTGAGGCAGAAGATGCAGTAACACCCCCTTATGCTGCAGGTTATGTGCACTTTGGTCAAAAACCTGTACTGGGAGGTGAAAGAAGTGTTCTAATAAATATGAAAACTAACAAAGCTATTCAGGGTCTGAACAGAGTTTTTTTTTACTTCATTTTTTACTACAGGTTTCCCTATTTGGACCCCCCTGAAGAAAGACACATTTTAGAAGCTCTGAAGGAACTTTACCAGTGCAGTGCTATTGACAGGTAAAAAATAAAGGGGGGCAGTAAAAAACAAAAGAGTGCATTAAATTCCTACAGGAATTTAATGGTTTAACTGGTGTCAGTGTTTGTTTGGGTGGACTAAAGGACTTCCCCAGCAGTAGGAATGTGTTTCCTCATTTGGCTTCCAGGAAGTTACTACTGGGGTTGAATGTAGGCTGGAAAATCAGGGTTAGGGCTGGGCTTAGGGATTGGGAGATACAGATCAATTTGTCCACATTGTCCTGGAGTTCCTGAGTGACCTCAGACAAATTACCTCAACCCAGTGCTGGAGCTCCTGGTGGCAGATCCCAGACTGTTGTGACGGAGGAATTTGGGCTTTGGCTGTGAGGTCCATCCAAGGACTCAGGGCAGGAAGCGAGATCTTATCCTGAGCTTCCAGCAATTCTTCTGGCAAGTTAAATAAAAGCTGCCTTGTGCCTGGCATGGAGCAGGCACAGGCAAGCTGGGGACACCTCTTCATGTCCCCAGCACCTGTCTGGGCACTCTCATCCAGAGGGAAATGCTTATTCCTGTGCCCTGTGCCAGGGCGTGGTGGCTGACTGAGGTGAGCACGCTCCCATTTACATTGAAACATGAACCTGGCATTCCTGTCTTTTCTCCTGGGATAAGGAGAGGCCACGTGACAAGACTGGGAGAATTCCTGGTGCAGTTTCCCCTCCCTCCCAACCTGAGCTGTGCTGTCATAAAAGCTGCTTCCCTGGACTGCGAGGATCTCCTGCTCCCCATCGCGGCCATGCTGTCCGTGGAAAACGTCTTCATCCGCCCAGGTAGGAAAACCCCTCATCCCAAAGCAGCCCCACAGGATGTTCCTAAAGCTTTCCACGAGCTTGGAGTCAGGGCACACTGCAATGATTGGACAGCAGCTGTTCCACAGGCTCCAGAGCAGCATGGAATTGGGCTGTGTTTGTCCCAAGGCTGCGAGCTGGGAAGCGATGTTTGCGTAAGCAGGAGGATGCTGAGAGGTCACGAGGGGGGAACTGTGTTACAGCAGGGAAGAGAATAAAAAAAACCCACACCCCCAGAAAACCAAAATGCACCACAGCAGATGTTTTGCTGTTGGTCTGCGTACAGACAACAGGGACTGATTAATTTGTTTTTAATGAACGGGGTCACCTCTGGATTATCTTTCCTGTCAATAACTCTGTTTAACCAAACAGGGCTTTTAAGTTACCGTGAGAAGCTCAGCTTGTCACTGCCTCATTTCCAGTGTTTTTCTAAAGGGAAAACACAGTTCTGCTGTGGTTCCAGAGCAGCACTTTTTGTAGTGCTAAGCTCAGTCTCTCACATCCTCCTTCCCATCTCCTTTGCCCCCTCCTGTCTGTCCCCCTTCGTGCTGCATACATTTGTGTATGTCCTGCCTTTGTGGGAGACCTTTGTCCTTCCCAGTCACTCCCTGGCTCTTATCCAGTTATCCCTGTAGTCCATTAACTGTCCCTGTTAGCACAACAGCCCCAGACACTGCTGACAGCACCGATAACCTGGAATCTGCTCCGGTGTCCTTCCCATTCCCACAACTGCCCCCGTGCTTTCCCATCCTCCCTCTGGCAACCTGCCCTTGTTCTCTGATGCACATCTGTTACCCTTCAGCAACCCTGAACATTGGGAAGAACATCCCAACTCTCACCCTGAAGGCATCTTCAGGCTGTGTATGATCAGGTCTCCTCCACCCATGTTACCTTTAATACCGAGAGACTTCTGCCACCCTCTACGACATCAGCCCTGCAAAGGCCTTTGCAGGCCTGTCCTGGGAGGGAAAGGTTGTGCTGGAGGAGAAATTCTTGGGGTGCTTAAACCTTGAAATAACACTTTGGAAGTGTTGCTTTTGCCCAGCACATTCCTAGCACTTAGTGAAGGTGGATTCCCACTGAACTCACAGATCCACGTGTTTTTCCAGGCTCTTATTTAAGGCCTCCATTACCGTGGCACTGGGGACAAAAGCTGAGTTAAACAGATTAGATGGGGTGCTTTCAACAGGCCTGTTTTTCCTCTCAGGGCAAAACTTCCCCATGAGCTGTTTGTTTAAGGTCCCTGTTCCTTTATCTCTCCATGTCAGCATCTGAGCTGATTGTGAGAGAGAAATATGTAGAACCTTTCCAAGAGACCAGAATTCTTCATCTCTCTTTGCTGACTGATGAGATTAGTGACACATTTAATAGCATCTACGTGCTCTTGTTCAGCAGGAGTGGAAGGAGGAAGAGCTGTAAATGCAGATGTGGAGGAGAGACAAATCTAAAAATAACATGAATAAAGAGCCCAGGCTGCCAAACACACTTTGGAGGAGATGCTAGCAGAGCATTAGGGAGCGATCCTAAAAATGACTTTAAGTGAGATATAACTTACTTCCTCAGGTGATCCTCAGAAGCAAAAGGAGGCTGAGCTTCAACACCAGGAACTTTCCTCACAAGTGGGAGGATGCAATGACTTTGCAACCCTCTTAAATATTTTTGAACAGTGCAAAGCAAGGTATAAAATGATCCCTTACAGTAAGTAAGTGGTTTTGCATTGCTCATAACTCCCAGGTGCTGCCAGTCTTTAGATGTGCTGCACATCCACACCTGTGTCCTCGTGCCTGGCTGCAGATTTGTTCCTTCTTTGAGCTGTAATTTCTGTCACTGTTTAAGCCAGCAAAGTATCTGCTGTGTGGGTTGTTTTGCCTTTTGTGTGACCATAACGAAAAAAAACAGAGGCAAGTTTCTGCCTTCAGCTCCCAGAGGGTTTCTTTGTAACACAAGCGTTTCTGTTCTCAGCCAGCGTCCCTCAGCCTGGTGCCAGAGACACTGGATCCACTGGAGGGCTTTAAAATCTGCTTTTAGTGTGGAAAAACAGCTCCGGGAAATAACCAGTAAACTGAAAGAGGTAAAAAAAAAACCCCAAAAACGTAATTTCTAGGTGTGTTGGAGTTATGTAAGTTTATATTTCTGACATGTACTGGAGTGCTGAGCCTTTGCCAGATGGCTGCTGCCTTCCTCCTGCAGGAACTAATCCACTTAAATATTTTTTTCGAGCGTCCTTGCTTGTGTAACTCGCAGGTATGGTGGTGGGAGCAGGCAAGAAGGAGAGTTCCCCCCCTTTTCCTCGTGGTTTCCGTACAGTGAGAAGCCCAGAGTTTAAAATCCATGGGATAGAGGGGGTGTAGCTGTTTTTCCTCTAGGAAAAATCCCGGTTCATGTTGTTTTTCTCTTGTCACAGCTACCAGACTTCCCCAAAGAGACATTTGAAGGCTCCAGGACTGAAATCCTGAGGAGATGCCTGTGTGCAGGATACTTCATCAACGTAGCTCGCAGGTAAGGAAGGCACTTTGGGGAATGGGATGGGAAAGATGCCCTGCACAGGATCTGCAGAGGGCTGTGGGTTGGGAAAAGGAGCAATTTGGGTTGGGAAAAGGAGCAGTTTGGGTTGGGAAAAGGAGCAGTTTGGGTTGGGAAAAGGAGCAGTTTGGGTTGGGAAAAGGAGCAGTTTGGGTTGGGAAAAGGAGCAATTGCAGCTGAAGGAGGTGTTCCTGTGCAGGGCTGCAAGCTCTGTAGGTTCCCTGCTTTTGGCTGTCGTTGCTATTCCAAGGATGCAGGAAACTTCCCCAGGAATGTCATTTTTGTGTCTGTGGAATGAACTCCCAAGCTGATGGGTAGTTCCAGATATTAAACTAAAGGGCTTGGAAATCTCCAGTTATCGTGGCTGTCAAAGGCTTCACTGCCAAACCCTCTCCTTGTTGTGTTGCTGTATTTGCAGTGCTACTGTGGTAAATCAGATATATTTTATTCCTCATTGGGGTTTTTTTTTTTTACAGTTTAATTCTGGAAGCCTCTTTCTCTCCCTAAATATTTGACTTTCCCCAGGTAGATATTTTGAGTGTTTTGTCTGAGCTGCAGCTGATGAGTTTAGTTTAGTCTTGCTGCCTGTGTTGCTGCCTGATCACAGCAAAGTGTGTGTCACTAATTGTTTATTTATTTATTTCCTCCCCCAACCCTTTCAGATCTGCAGCCAGGACCTTCTGCACAATGGACGGACACGGCAGCATCGTCTACATCCACCCCTCATCCACAGTGAGTTTCCAAAGCCTGCTGGAAAAGTAGCAAAGGATCTGGTGAACATTTGGGTTGTGATGGGAGCGTAACACACACTGAACTCCCTCTGGGGGCAGCTTTGAGCGAGTCATTCCACCTTTAATTTCCCTGAAAATTAAGGACGATGTCACCTTTATTTCCTTCCTTACATCTTTGAATTAACTTCCCAGCTCTACAACCAGGAGACCCTGCTGGAGTGGATCATCTTCCACGACGTCACCGTGACGTCCAAGATCTACGTGCGGACGGTGTGCCCCGTGCGCTACGAGTGGCTCAAGGAGCTGCTGCCCCGGCTGCACCAGATCGACGCCTACGAACTGAGCAGCGTGGCCAGGGAGGAGGTGACAGAGGAGGAGATCACCAGGTGGAAGCAGAAGGAGGACCTGAAGAGGCAGTTTGGTGAGCGCAGTGAGCCCACGTCCACGGGTGTGGGTTGGGTGGACTCCTGGTCTGGGCTGGAAGGTGTTAATTAATGTGTGTAGATGTTTGATCTGGGCAGTTCTGGCTGGTCTCTTTTCTCTGCAGTCCTTGTTCTCTGTCTCTGCAGTGTGGACAGTGGTGTTTCCTCACTGGCTCTTGCCAAGGTCCTCCCTTCTTCTGGCTTCCTAAAGCTCACGGGGCAGAGCTTTAACTCAGAGTTGACTGAAAGCATTTTGAACCGGATTATTTCGAGTTATTATGGGATTGTTTGAAGTTTGTGAAGGGTTTCTAACCGTAGATACCCAAACAATACTGTCCTGAGAGAGAGAGAAGTCCTAAGGGTTATGGAGCAGAGAGGAGGGAAAAAATCAACCCAAAAAACCTCACCCAACAAAAAAACATGAAGGAAAAAATACCCCATTTTGGTGAATGTCTCGTTCTGACAACGAGTTTAATGCCATATGTTTCAATAGTTTTAATTAAGACTGCTGCCTGCTGACTGATCTGCTGCCTGACATTCTCTGAATTCTTCTGTCAGCAGGTCCCTGAAGCAGCCAAGTACTCAAAGGGCCTCTTTCCTCCCCAGCTGACCCTTCCAAAACATCCACTTCATCTACAGCACAGGCACTGGCAGTATTGATTCTCTTCCACTTCCTGGAAATGGAGACTTCTGGGCCCAGACAGAGTGCATTGCTGCATAAACCCACCATCTGAAAGGATAAAAATGTGGATTTCATTTGGTTAGGAATAGGATAGGAAGGGATATTTGCATTGTTGGGTGATGCAGGGGAGCATCATCCAGCTGAGGTTTGATCTCTGTGTCCCTCCTAGCACTGTGACTTCACCAGGCAATTGTAAATTCAACTGAGATCAACATTGACCTTACAGATGTTGTATTTCTGGGAGCTTCATAAAAAGAGGGGGATGAATAGCTGAGAAAGGCTTAATTAGTGGAAGGAAAGGCTGCAGCATGGGCTGAATTATTATTTGACTGCAAGATAGAATAATTACAAATATCCTAATGGAATAGAAATATTCCAATATTGCAAATATCCTAATAAATAATGTTGATTAAAGCCCCAAGGACAGGCTGCAGTAGCTGCTTTCATTCACACAGTTTTTAGGCTCTCAGAGTCTTTGATTAATTTTTTATTATTGTTACTTCCAACTGAAAACATCTCTTGCTTTTCTTGCCTCCTGGGAGAAGCCCTGCCAAGGTCTCAGTGCTGGGGGAGAACCTGCATTCCTGATGGTGTCTGCTCCCAGTATTGACTTTTCCCACTCCCTTATCTCCTCCTTGTCCAGCCTCTTCCTCCTCCCTCCCGACATATTTTACAGCTGATTTATTCTCAGCTTATTTCCTGCCCTCCCCCTCCCTGTGCTGTCCCTCTCCTGCCTAAACCTGAGGTTGAGATGTGTCATTTGGGGAGGAAATGGGTGCCTGGAGCCCAAGATGCCTGCTGTGTGCTGCAATAAAACCCAAGGCCCAGGCTGGGGATGAGAAGAGCCCAGCTGCAAATATTGACACGGGAGCTCAGGCAGGACTTTAGTTTTCATTTTTTGTTGGTTTTTTTTTTTTCCCCCTCCCTGCTGTGGTACAGTCTGTCCTCTTCTGGAAGTCATTCAAATGCCCTGCCTGGGAATTGAAATGAAAATTAAAAAAAAAAAGAGATTCTGTTGAGTGGTTTTTGGGGTATTTTACAAATAGGAGGAATTGTAGTGCTTGGGGGTGAGGGTGACACAAAATGATATATATTTTTCTCTCCTTTCTTTCCCCCAGAAGGAGCCACAGCCAGCTCTGCCAAGAAGCTGGAGAGGAGGAACGATGATCAGTCCATCCTGGACGCCAGAGCCCGTTACCTGGAGAGGAAGCAGCAAAGAGCTCGGGGTTTGGGTGGCCCAGTGAAAGAGCTGGGGTGATTGTGGTGCCACTCCACTCCCACGGCAGGGAGGGTGCTTTGAGCAGCTCTGGGGGTGTTTGCAAGGTGCAAAGTGACTCCCAGAATGGAGGGAAACTTCTGCTTTGTGGTTACTGGAGGGCAGGAGAGCAAAACACAACCTGCCCTCGCTGCAGCCAGCAAGGGAAAAGCGACCGAGGTGGATTTTGTTGCTGCATGTCACTGGCAACAGTTTACTGTGGTGCCAATTCTGTGGCATTTCATTGACTTAGAAAGGCCTCAGTGCCGATATAAATAAAATTTTCTTAAAGATTGGCTGAGGTTTATATTTTTCCAAGGAGTGGAAGTGTAAGTTTTTATCCCTGTCACTCGGTATGATGGCTGTGCTGTCTCAGTGCTCACCCACTCCTCAGTTAAAGGTGCAGGAAGGGCTCTTAGGATGGTGGAACCCTCAGGATTAAATCCAGAAGGATGTTTGCCCCCTGCATTCCCTGCTGCAGCAGGTGCAGGGATGGCTCTGGGTGGAGATGTCCTGGTGTGCCAGGAATGCTGGCCAGCTTTCCACACTCCTGCCAGCAGGGCATCATTTGCTCAGGGATGATGACTTAGCACGGGGTGTTTTCCTGCTGCCAGAGGAACCCACCCCAGCAGTGGGTTATCCCTTATCCCCCAGGGCTGGCAGCAGGGCTGTTTGTCTGGCTTTGGGGACTGTTATTTTTTAAAAGATCCTGATTTTGATCTCTAGAATGGCATTTTCGGATGTGTGGGAAGCACACCCAGGGAAATAAAAAGCTTTTGTCCTTCAGCTGGGATGCTTTGTCATCAGAAAGTTTTGTCTCCTTCTTCTCAGTGAAGAAATAATCCTGTTTTTTATCACCTCAGCTTGCAGTGGGGAGCTTGTACAAGACAATTTCCACCTCACTAGAGGGACATGCTGTCGTTTTTCCCACCTCTCTGTGTCACCTTCTTGCTTTCCAGGTCACTTCTTAAAGGGATGTTGTAAAATATTCACCATTTCCCCCCCCTCTGCTCCACCTTGAGCATTCCAGGCTGATCAGAAGCCCTCAGGAAACCTTGGGATTCTTTGTGGGGAAATAGAATATTCCTCATTTAAAAAAAAAAAAAAAAAAAGCAGCACTTTTCCTTGACTCAGCCTGTTTTGCTGTTTAATTTGATTTATATTTGCAAGTCATGGCCACTCCTGAGTCAAAGGATATCTGTCCCTCATGCTGGGTCTGGAATGAGCAGCTGGAATGGCCACTATTCCTTGGGGATGGAAATCTCCTGGCAGATCCTGGTGCTTTCTGATTCATTTATCATTTTCACTCTCTAAATGGCAAAAAGGGAGAGGTTTGGTTTTTTTTTTCCCCCCTTGTGTTTCAGGGTTGCTCAGAGAGTTGGAAATGGGGAATCGAGGACAAATTACCCGAGGAAATAACCAGGAGATTGCAAAACGAGGTGTCAGGAAAGCTGGGGTGCCCCAAGCACACCCAGCTCTGGGCAGAGCCCCTGGAATGCTCCATCCTCCCAGAGAAACAACTAAAACTGAACTCTTTTTGTGTGCTGGAGGTAAATTGTGAGTTAATAAACACAGGAGGAAGGGGGGAGGTGGATGGTGTTCCTGCACTCATTAACAGGGGCCTTGGGAAGAGTCCTGGATCGTCCCAGGGCTGGAGCCTGGAGGGATGGGGACAGTGGGGACACCCTGGGGAGGGGAACATCATCCCCATCACAGCCCCTTGGTGTGTCCCCTGGGGGTTGGATCCGCTCCATCCCTGGGACAGGGACACTCCTGGGGGGTCCTACCCGTCAGGGGTCACCTCCCCGGTGACAGGATGGGTTATCCAGTGCATCCCCCGGTGACAGGGGACACCCCAGGGAGGAGGGATCCCGAGTCAGTCACCGGTGCCCGGTGTCAGGAGATCCTGGGGAGATATCCATGGACACCCTGGTGTCAGGTTATCAGGGGTCACCCTCGGTGTCAGGGGGGTTATCCAGGGATACCCCCGGTGACAGGGGGGTTATCCCGGTGTCCCCCCCGGTGTCAGGGGGGTTATCCCGGTGTCCCCTCCGGTGACAGGGACACCCCGGGGGGTTATCCCGGTGTCCCCCGGTGACAGGGGGTTATCCAGGGATACCCCCGGTGTCAGGGGGGTTATCCCGGTGTCCCCCCCGGTGTCCCCTCCGGTGTCACCTTGTCCCGGCCGCGCCGCGCGGCCACGTGACGCAGCGCGGGGCGGTGCGCGCGGGGCGGAAGTGACGCCGCCGGCCCCTCGGTCGCATGATGTGGCAAAAAAAAAAAAAAAGGCCGGGAGGGAGCGCTGAGTGCTGCGTCCCCAAATAGTCCCTTCCGGCGGCGCATCACCCCGCCCGTTCCACTGGCGGCGCGCGCCGGCGGATCCCTCCGCGCCCCTCCGGCGCGGCTGAGGCGGCTCGGGCGGGCGGCAGGTGCGCGTATCCTTCCGCCGCGGTATCCTTCCGCCGGCGGGGGCAGCCCTTCCGCACGGCCCCGCTCCGCCATCGCGGCCCCGCAGCGCCCGCAGCGCCGAGCCCGGCCCGGCACGGAGCCCCCGCCGCCGCCATGGCACAGATCCTGCCCATCCGCTTCCAGGAGCACCTCCAGGTGGGCGCCGGAGCGGCCGCGCCGTTCCGTCCCCGCCGTGCCGACGGGAAGCGCCGGGGCCCGCCCGCGGTGCCGCCGGGAGGGCTGTGGGGGGGCGCGGGGTGTTGGTGTCCGGGAGGGGAGCGCTGCCCGAAGGGCACCTTCCTGAGGGGCCGGGCCGGGCCTGCCGCCCTTGCCGGTGCCCACCCGGGCTGGGCGAGGCCGGGAGGGGACGGGGAGCGCGGGTGGTTCCGCGGCGTGAGGGGAAATCCCGCCCCGGCTCCGCGAGGGACGGGGGCAGCCGGGCAGGGCTGGGCTGCCTCGTTTCGTTCTGGGTGCATTCATAATCCTAACCCCCACCGCTGTGAGGGCGTCGTGAGTGGTTCCGCGGGTGCTGTCTGGGTGTAGTGTCACGTCCCGGCAGGGGAGCCGCAGTGAGCGCGGGAGCTGCCGCGGCTCCCGCAGTGCAGCGGGGGCAGTGCGGGTGCCCAGGTGCCCTCTCTCACACCCAGCCTCTCGCTGCACCCCCCACCACCACCACCACCTGATTTCCTTTCGCTTTCCCCGGCACGGCGGTGACACATCCTGGGTGTGCGGGAGCTCGGGGCTGCCTTCCCCGGGAGCGCGCTCCGTGTCCGTGGGTGCAGCCGGGCCGCGGGGAGCGCTCCGGAGCGGCGGGGCCGGTTGTGCAATGGGCACTTCCCCTCTGGCAGCTCCGTGGGGCCAAGTGCTGCGGGCCCCGGCGCTCCTGGCTGCGGCCGTGGGGTTAATTGAGCTCGGTTTCGCTGCTGGGGAGGTTTATTTTTTTGTGTAATAAAAGCTGCATCGACGCACCTGGCTGAGGGTTTCTCTTCTGCCTTGTGGTTCCAGCGTTTAGTTTGTCTTTGGGTAAATGAGCACTGATGTACTGATGGCTTTCCATCGTTTATAGCGACTTCTTTTCCTGACTCCAATAGACAAATTTCGGTTCCTAGGCACCTTGCAAAATACTTATTTTGTGGTGTAAGTTACCACTGCCCATAGGGGTTAAAAAAATGGTGCCATGATTACTTTCTTGTCTGGATGGGTGACTGTTGGGTGTTGAGGAATTTTCCTTCAGTATGAGTGGAAAAGCAGGCCAGAATTCCTAGCTAGGAGTGCCTGCACTGACAGGGGAATCCCAGGAGCTGCCCAGAGCTTTGTCTCTGAGCTGTGTCTTGTCCTGGGGGTGGCAAGCCCAGACCCAGGTGCTGAGAAGGTTCTGTGTCCTCAGGTGAAGCTCATCCCTCTGTGTGCCCAGCTCCTCCTCAAGCATTGTGGAAATGCACCTCTGATATATTATTTAAGCCCCCAACCTTGCATGTGACCCACTGCCAGGTCTCTAATGACATGAGTCCTGTTACATAATGAAACTCATCTGCCTCCTGCCAGGAGTGCTGGGAGGGTTCAGGCCAGCACTGCTGTGGAACAGGACTGTTCTGCCCCAAGTCTGATTTCTGTGGTTGGTTGTGCTTTAATTTGCATTTTCTCTCCCTGCACCTCCTCACTGGTTGAACCAGTACCTTTCATAGCTGCACACTGAGCTGCTCTCTCCTCAGGTGGGGTGTCCAGCCCTCTCAGCCTGGGTGCACGTGGCTCTTGCCCAGTTTGCTGCTCCTGCTGAACTTCCTCATTTGGTCTCATTGAAGAATTTTCAGAGGAATTTGAATTCTCGGAGTTCCTGTTTTTCCGCTGAAGTTTCTGATGAAAATTTCTGAGAGCAGAACCGCTGATATTGCAGTGGGTTTGTTTCAGGGTATTCCAGGCTGCTCCCAGGAAGTCCTCATGGGCTCAGGAGGACAATTTCTTGAACTGTGCCTGACCCACATTGTCTAGGAAACTTGTCTTGCAGGTGTTGGGCAACACTTGCAGGTTTGGAGCTGATGCTTTAATGCAAGACAAGGCACCCACCTGGAGCCTTATTCATAAAGGGCAGGTGGTGAATGTCAGTGAGAAAGGTTCTGCAGGCTGGTATTGAGATCTGAGCTTGGCTGGGGATTTGGGAATGAGGAGTAAAGGCCCCAGAAGCCCTGAATGCTTTGGGGGCACAGGACAGTGATTTGTGCCCCACATTGGAGCTAAAGATCTCCTTTGGGCAAGAAGTTGGCTTAGCAGGGCACAGTGAGCTTTCTGGGGAGTCTGAAACCAAAAGGTGTTCTCAGGCTTCAGGTGTTGTTTGTTGGAGTTCCATCCCAGGCTCTGCAATCTCAGCTGTCCCAAACATGCAGGTTTTATCTGTGTGGTGTCTGCTGTACATCCCTGCCTGGCCTTAAAGCAGCTTGTTGTGAGAAACTCCCCTTGGGAGTCTTCAAGGAGGAACCTGGTCCTTGTGCTATCAAAACTCACGTTATAAAACTTTACAGTGCTGCTGCCTTTTTTTTTTTTTTTTTTTGAAGTAGCTATGAGGAAACAACCCACTGTGCTTGTGGTGGGAGATCAGAGTTCAGTGTGTGGGAGGATTGTAAATCTGGTTGCTCCTGTGCAGGTTTTAGGGACTCCTGAAGTGTGCCTGTGAGTACTTGAGGATGGAAGTAAAACACAGCTGCTTGTTGTGGTGGGGCAGTGGAGCTTTTCTGACATTACAAGTTCCTTGATGAGTGAGAAGGACCCAGATTAGATGGACTGGGATTGCCAGGTCATATAGACACAAAAACTGAGCTTGGACCAGGCCCACTGCTGTACTGAGTTAAGGCATTAATAAATACTCTTCTGAACCTAAAGATTTAAAAAGAAATTTTTTAATTGTTCTGTGAGACAGTGCAGAGAACTGGCAGCTCAGGCTGTGTGCTGGATGCCAACACAGAACTGCTTTTCTTAAACCAGGAAAAGGCTTCTTGTCCCTATTGTTCATTGATGGAGCAAACCTGAGTGGCAGCTGTGCTGTCCTGGTGTGGTGGCACTTGGGTGGCTCCAGAGTCCCAGCTGTGCCAGAGAATAAAACAGCACAGCCCAGGCATCAGGGAATAAAATACATCAATTCAATACTTTAACAATGGCAAACAGCAGAATATTTCCATGTATTGTGCTGACAGTGAGACAGTTTAATACAGCCTAAAACACGAAATCTCTGCTGTAACAGCATTACTTTGGGGCAGTTAGATCTCTGGAATGAGAGGACTCTGCCTAATGCTGTTTGGGTGGGATTCTTGCTCTGCTTCTTAGTGGATCTGCATTCCTGCAGCCAGAGAGTTCAGAGTATTCCCACAGAGGGAAAATCTGTAACAAAGAATGGAAACGTCTCGAGGAGAGTGTGTGAGTGTGTGTGTGTGTGAGCTAATTGGATAGGAGCAATTAGTTAAGCAGTTTATGAGCTGTTCTGGGCATGGCCCTGCCCTGGTGGCTGCTCAGTGCCCTGTGCTGCCACAGACAAGGGGTGGGAGCCAGAGGTTCTGAGCTCCAGTGGCAGCAGCTGCAGCCCCAGCGTGGTTTGGAGCTCAGACAGTCAAACATGGCCCTGTGGCTGCCTGGGCCTGCTCAGGGGGAGCCACAAAATAGGAAGGATACAGGAATAAAGAGCTCTTGAAGGGTGGAGAGGTCCCTTATCTGTTGCAAACATGACTTCCCAGGCTGTCCCACGCTGTGACTCTTACCTTGCCCCGGGAAGGGGGATGTGTTTGGAGCCAGGGCCTGGCTGTGGCTCTCTCACAGAACTGCACTGACAGAGCAGCGCAGAGGGGAGGGTTTTGGTGTGACTTCAGTTTGCTTTTCTAATTTTCCTGTGTGGAATTAAAAGAGCAGCTGAATCGTAGCCTGGTGTCTGCCTTGTTCAATCAAAGCCAGTGAAACGTGGCCTGTGGCAGAGCTGATGTGACTCACTGCACACCCAGGAGCTCCTGCTTCCCGAAGGACTGGGAATTCTCCTGTTAGCTGGCACTGTGCACTCCAGGATTTCTGGCTGTGTGGGGATGAGGGGTCTCTGGGCAGGGGCTGAGCTGTGGCCACAGGAGCAGTGCTTGTGTCCTGCTGGGGGCCAGAGTGGAGGTGAAGTGTGTGCTCAGCAGTTCTGTGTCCTTCCTCCCAGGCAAGGAGAAATTGTGTGACAGCTAAGCACTGTCACAGGAAAGGGGCTGTCACAGGAAGGGGTCAGCAAAGAGGCTCTTGTCAGCAGTTTTTACCGTTCAGTTTGATGTCACATGTATGTGACAACTTCCCTGGGTGAGTTACCAAGAACGGGCTTGAATTATCTTCCAGTGAAAAAAATAATCCTGGCAATCAGACGTGCACTTGCTGCGTTAGGATGATTCACATCTCAGTGCTGTTCACAGAAATGCCATCCCAGAATTTCATGGTTCAGCAGAGCCTGCAGTGGAGTGAAGTATCTGATCTTGGGTGAGATGAGTCCTTCAGGGCGATGTCTCTGCCTCTCACAGGACTGTCCCTGACAATCTGTGTCATGGTTCCCTCTGCTTCCCAGAACACTCCACTCCCAACAGGACACTGGTGGCACTCATCATCTTCCTGACAGGACACTGGTGGCACTCATCTTCCTGACAGATGTGGGTGCAGAAGAACTCCCACTGGAAATCACTTGCCCAAGCACAGTGAGCAAGTTCTGCTTTCATATCTGCTTGAAAGGCAAGGAAGTGGTTTTTGTAGTAAAATGTAGGACTGTCTTAAATTCCTTCTTTTTTTTTTTTTTTCAGTCTTTTAAAGTTGTTTGTGAAATGCAGCGAGTGCAATATTAAATGTTTGAGGGTTTTTTTCCACTTTGTAGTAAATTGGTAGGAACCCTGCCCCAACCCCCTGTACTCCTTTGGCTGTAGTGCAGCTCAGGAGTTTGCACGTGGAATAGCATTGCAATTTTCACAATCAAAGCCTCCAAAGGAATATTTGCTGTCGTGTTTCCTCACAGTAATCTTCACCTCTGTTTGCTCTGCTCAGCTTTCCCAACATGCCTGCCTGGCTCTCCTGAACTTTAGCCAGTTTGGGGAAGAAAACAACCTGTATTCCAGGGAATGATCTCTGCTCAGGAGTTCTGTGCATCCTTGGTGTTGGCCTCACCACTCCTGGCTGGTGACACCCTTGTGCAGTCAAAGGCAGGGATTGTCACCGTTAGAATTCACGTCCTGACGCGGTTCCTACACTGGGGTCTGTGAAGATGAAAGATGAAATGTTGGCAGATGGAGCTTGTGTGTACTTGGAGATTTCAGTGAGGGTTGTGCCTCCATCAGAAAGCTTCTCCAGGCTTTCTTCAGAGCTCCTGTGCCAGGAGACACCTCACTTGGAGAATAGTGAGAAGTTTAAGAAGCACCACTTTTAAAATCTCCCCCCACTCCCTGGGCTTAGTCCTCAGATGTGACACCCAGCAGATGGCACTTTGATTGTGATTAAGGTAAATCTGTCCTGCAATATCCAAGTGACTTTGATTTGGTGGGTTTGTCTGGAGCTCCCTAAGAGGTCCTGCCATCTGCTTGGACCTGCTGCTCAGATTTGTTCTGTCCACAGCATTTGAGTGTAGTTCCTCTGAGTTACTGCCTGGCACTCAAACCACCCCCCTCTACCAAATCAACAAAGAAATTTAGTGCTTGGTAAATGATTTTGCACTTGTGAAACTTGCAACCCCAGCAAAAGGAAATGCCATGTCCCAGTCAGTCACTCCAGCCCTAGCAGATCAAACTGCCACATCTTCAGACCTTCTCTCCCTGCAGGGCTGTGCCTGGATTCCAGATATCCCTGCCTGGATTCCAGATATCCCTGCCTGGATTCCAGATATCCCTGCCTGGATTCCAGATATCCCTGCCTGGATTCCAGATATCCCTGCCTGGATTCCATATATCCCTGCCTGGCTCAGGGGCAGTCCCAGAGTCCCATGTCTAGAGAACACTGCTCAAAGTGGGAAAGGGAGATTTCAACTTGCATCTAAAATCTTCTGAGTGGTCCATTTTGCTGGAGAATGTGTGATGAGGTTCTGAGATGCTGGGCCTCAAACACTTGCTTAAATCTGAATAACAGAGTTCTGGACCTGTCAAGGATGTAGGGTTTGATTTTTATTTATTTCTTTTTTAATTAATTTTTAAGTAGCTGTAGCATCCAGGCAGTTTTCTCTTGGAAAGGCTGATCAAACACTGAAGTCTGCTGGCTTTATTGTCAGGAATTCCCTGGGTAACACAGATCTCCCGTGGAAGTGACTTTGTGCAGCTTGTTCTTGCTGTGCCACAGCTTGGATGTGGCTTGTTCCTCGTGTGCACTCGGAAAGCCTGAGCAAAGGGGAAGTGGAGTAAAACACCCTCTTTATCAGGAGCTGCAAACAGGCAGAGCAGAGCTGGGGCATGGCCTTCTCAGAGCTGTGCAGAGCTCAGCTGATAAGGGCTGGGTGCTCCAAACCACCACAATCACCCTAAAATGGCTTTGAAGGGCTCGCCCTTCTCAGGAGACCTTGGGCTTGAAGGTCTCCCAGAAAGAAAAATAGTGATAACTCCTCTAACAGCAGAGAACTGAGCTGCAGATTTTAAGGTGTATCCACAACAAGCTGGTTGTGTCTGTGATAGTGTGAGCTGAACTGCCCAGTCTGCACTTCCACTGTTAAACTTCACTGAGCTTTGTTTCACTGCTGCCATCCTGGTGCAAACACCATGGAGTGCCATTAACTAAACTGTTCTGTTGCAAGAACCATAATTTTGGGGTGTCCATTCAAAGATTTAGGGCTCAGCAGAGGAGGAGGTGGTTTACTGATCCCTTGAGTAGGGCTGTGCCTGAGCTGTTCCTGATTCCGGTGTGTCCATCCCCGGTGTGTTGGCTCTGCCTCCTGCTGTGAGACAGCCGAGCTCCTTGCTAGACAGGGAGCTTTTTATAGCTCTGCAGGGCCAGAGATGAAGCTCAGACACCTCACGTGTGATGTTAAGCTTGAAACAGCGAGAGCTCAGGGGAATGAGCTCAGGGAGGAAAGGTGGTGAGAGTGAGGACTGAAGTGCAACTCCAGCACAGCTCCCAGGAGCAGGAGAGTTCAGGGTGCCTTCAACCCCTGCTGTGACTCGTGGGGATGGTCCTTGTGGGTCCCTTCCAGCTCAGCACACTCTGGGATTCTGTGCTGTGAGGGGCTCACAAGCTGACTTCTCAATGGTAAGTTGGAAGTGGACCTTGAAGGCCAAGTACCCAAGCAGTTGATGCCATTTTTGGGTAGTGTGGTTGTATCATCACCAAAAAACCGCGTGAAGCCAAATGTCCCCTGCCACTTTCACAAAAGCCGTTCGTGGCTGCGCCGAGGGAATCGTTTGATGTTGTACCTTGTTTATTCTCTTCCAGCTCCAAAATCTGGGCATCAACCCAGCCAACATCGGGTTCAGCACTCTGACAATGGAGTCTGACAAGTTCATCTGCATCCGAGAGAAAGTGGGAGAGCAGGCCCAGGTGGTGATCATTGACATGAACGACCCCAGCAACCCCATCCGGAGACCCATTTCAGCTGACAGCGCCATCATGAACCCTGCCAGCAAAGTCATCGCCCTCAAAGGTAGGGAATCCTGAGGAAGAGCTGTTGGAAGTGGCTGCAGAGCCTCCTGTAGGACTGGGCTGGGAGTGACTGAGGTCTCTCAGGTGATTTATGTGGGAGGATCCCTTAGCACTTCTCCCCAGCTTAATGGGAGCTTAAGGTGAATGCATTTTCTGCTCTGCTGGAGGCAGTTGGACTTTAAGCTGCAGCTGAGACTTCCTGCCATTTGCTGCTCGTTGGGATGAGGGTTTTTCCTTCAGTCCAAAAGCTTCCAGCTCCTGAGCAAGGAGAGCTGGAAGGAAAGTGTGGGCTTTAGGGAATCACGTTAGAGGGAAGTGAGACCTGATGGAAGTGTGTAGGGTCTGTCAACTGCACCTGTCCTTACAGTAAGGAAAACTAAGGCTGGGAAAGGGGGGAGATATTCCTGAAGGCCTCAGTCTGGCCAGTGATCCAGCCTGTGCATATTTATTATATCATTCAGTGATAAGAAGGGGAAAGCTATGCAGGGAAGACTTGTGTGGTGAATGAAGTACAAGGCCAGCCAGCTTGGTATCTCTGATGATACAGAGAGCAAGCATTTCCTCTGGAATCTCCAGAAGTTTCCATCTCTTTCCCTAAGAGGCCCCAAAAGCCTTAAATACAGTCATCCTAGAAATGCATGTATTGCTAATGGAAAGATTTGTGTGTATCCAATGTTACTAACTTTGACCTTAATACTGTGCTACTGTTTTGTCACAACTTTAATGCTTTCTTGTGTGTGCAGATGGTGAGTTATTTCAATTGACTGTACTAGTTCCTGTTGTGTCTTATGACAAGAAAAAGCAGAATAAAATGGCTCAGATGTATGGTGCACATGGCTGAACAGTGATGTTTAAAATCCAGAGGTTTTTCATGCCCTTCCAAACAAGGGAGTCCTTAAGATTCCTAAAATCCACTCGAGAACCCAAAGTGTACTTAAACCATTGGGATCTTGATACTGAGCTTTTTATAAACAGGGCTGACCCTTTTGACTCAAATCTAGATTTTCCCTGGTAATGCCCCTTGCACAGCGTGTGGGATCTGTGTTACCTGAACGTCCCTTCCCTCCATCTGAAGCTCCAGCTGCACTAGATGTGGAACCATACTACTGCCTGTTGCTGAGTAACTCTGTAGGAGACACATTTCTCCTGACTCAGCATCTTACAACAATTGCAGAACTCACGGTGGCTTTGGACTAAACCAGTCCTTGGTGAGTGCAGGCCCTGGCCCTTGTGGCACAGTGGCTTTGTCACTCACTGCAGCATCTTGTGTCATGTCATCTGTTATATTCCTCTCAGGCTACACAAGCATGTGCTTGAATAAGCTCTCTCCTAAAACTCATAGAACTGGTCAGAACCTTCTTATCTTCCCAACAGGAAGAAATCATTTCTTCTGCCACTGTGTTGTAAAAGCTGGTAGCAGTGACTGCAGGTGGCTGTTCAGGATGTTTATATGCACCATGCTGTGTAATTTGGAGAACTCTCCCTCTTGCCTTTCTAGAGCTTGTGTTGGTCACTAGATCCCTTTCCTTGCACATGTTGGTTTGCAGTCGGTAGCTGTGTATCCCACTAGTGCAACCCGAAGGTTTTGGTTAATGGAGGTTAAAAAGCCCTCTGCCAAATGGACTGTTCCGTGCTGTGCCTTTTTAGTGCTTTAAACAGATGTGGATGTAGAGTTTTTAATGACACTGGCATAACCCTCCCCACAACTTCCGAGAGCCTCAGCATGATTGTAACCTGGTTTGGGTGGACGTGAAGTCTCGTACAACCTGTTTGTGTGGCTGAAGCTTTTGTCCCCTGCCACCCTATTCTCCGCATCTGTTTGACTGCTCAGTAGTGGCACACTGGTAAAATGAGCCCTGGGAGTGTGCTCTGGTTTGGTGTCCCAGCTGGTCCCTGCAGATCTGCCAGAGTAGAACAGCTTTTTGTTGAAGGGAACCCCGAGGATTTCGTGTCCCAGCGCAGCTCTCCTGCTGTCCCCCCGCTGACCGCGCTGTGTGTTTGTAGCTGGGAAGACGCTGCAGATCTTCAACATCGAGATGAAGAGCAAGATGAAGGCTCACACCATGACAGACGACGTCACCTTCTGGAAGTGGATCTCCCTGAACACCGTGGCCCTGGTGACGGATAATGCCGTTTACCACTGGAGCATGGAGGGGGAGTCCCAGCCTGTGAAGATGTTTGACCGCCACTCCAGCCTGGCCGGCTGCCAGATCATCAACTACCGCACCGACGCCAAGCAGAAGTGGCTGCTGCTCACGGGCATCTCCGCACAGGTACCTCACCCCCAGGAGGCCAGGGCACCCCCAGAGCTCCTCCTGTTGCCTCTCCTGCAGGAGCAGCAGTTTTCTGTGTTTTCAGTGTTTGCTTTCTGATGCAGAAATGCTCGATCTTCAAACGAGCGTAGCTGAAAATCTTGCACTAATGTAACCGGACATGTAACAGTGTCAACAGTCTTAAACTGTGCCAGGGGAGGGTTAGGTTGGACATTAGGAAGAAGTTCTTCACAGAGGGAGTGATGGGGCGTGGGAATGGGCTGTCCAGGGAGCTGGTGGAGTCACTGGCCCTGGAGGTGTTAAGGAGAGGCTGGATGTGGCATCAGTGCCGTGGTCTGGTTGATGAGATGGCGTTGGGTCAAAGGTTGGACTTGAGGTCTTTTCCATCCAGTTAATTGGTGATATAAACATTGTACAAAGTTAAGGGTCTGAAGTGATGCCTTTGTAAGAGGAAGCATGGCATGAGACTTCAGCTGGGGATAACATATTTACCAGCATTAACTTAAATGAAATTATTGTGAGCTCCTCTTGTTCCTGACTCTTGTTTTTCCTTGTCCAGCAAAACCGTGTGGTGGGAGCAATGCAGCTGTATTCTGTGGATAGAAAAGTGTCCCAGCCCATCGAGGGACATGCAGCCAGCTTTGCACAGTTCAAGATGGAAGGAAATGCTGAAGAATCCACTCTCTTCTGTTTTGCAGTAAGAGGCCAAGCTGGGGGTAAGGTAAGGCTTGGCTCTAAGTACCTTTAGAGGCTCGTGATCTGCTTCCAGGGAAACAAGGGGTTTAATGCAAAAAGTTGCATTTAAGCAAAAAAGTGAAAGACTGTGTGGGTCTGAATAGTGTGTATATCTATATTTATAATGTAAATGACATTTGGTGCAGGAGCCTGTTTGGAGTCAGGAAGTTAAGTGGCGTGTCATGACCAGCCTCATGAGCTGCTTGAACCATGTGACTCGCAGCTTCCCAGGCTAAGCTGGAGGGAAAAGCTGTTGTAATCTTTCTTTGATGCTGATCCCCAGTATCAGACTTAACTTATTTCCAATTTATTGCATGAAAAAAAAAATGAAGCACTAGTATTGCAAGGCTAAATTAGTGGTCTGATGGCAACACTGGAATTGTGTGAGCTACATTGACAGCTGAAATAAAAGCTTAAGTTCAGAGAAACATTTTCAGAACTGTCACTGCAGAGTGTTAACCAGCTTGAAAGAGTGCATATAAAGTGACTTAACTGAATCCTGAGATTCAAGTAACTAGGGCTACCAAAGGATCATATTTAACTGTTTCCCTCACCTATGGTACAGGAATTCCATGTGCCACACCTTTAGCCAGTGAAAATATTTAGGAATTCTGACTTAGCTGGTCTTTGCATAAGCCTGGATTAAGGCTCAGCAGTGAGAGAATTGCTGCAGCTTCATTGTTGGAGGTATTGTTCAGTAAATGAGGTACAAGAACTAACAGACTAATCTTGCCTCTTGCACAGCTGCACATCATTGAAGTTGGCACACCACCTACTGGGAATCAGCCCTTCCCAAAGAAAGCTGTGGATGTCTTCTTCCCTCCTGAAGCACAGAGTGACTTCCCTGTTGCCATGCAGGTATGCCAGGGGGGAACAGCAGCACGAGAACAAAGCTGCACCTGGAGGGGGTGGGACAGTGGCAGGGCACTGGCAGCCAGGGGGTCAATCTGCTGGTGTGGCTGCTGCTCCTGCTTCAGTGCTGATAAAGGTGCAGACAAGCACCATTCAAAGGCAGCACGTTCTTATTTGGGGAAGAAATATCCATGGATATTTAACTGCTTGTCAAGCTCTTCAAACATCTTTCTGCTCTGACTACTGGAGTAAAAATACACCAAGCACTTCTGGTTGTCCTGAAACGGCCCCGCTCTCTGCTGAGTCTCAGAAGCACTCGCTCATTTACCCAGTGCCACATTTGATCAGTCTGTTTCTGTGCTGCAGATCAGTGACAAGCATGATGTGGTGTTCCTCATAACAAAATATGGCTACATCCACTTGTACGACCTGGAAACCGGCACCTGCATCTACATGAACAGAATCAGCGGAGAGACCATATTTGTTACTGCACAGCACGAAGCGACAGCCGGAATTATTGGAGTCAACAGAAAGGGACAAGTAAGGAAGCTTGGCCTGGAAATTTATTTAACTGATCCCACTGGCCCTTAATGATGCACTGAAGAGTTCATATCCATGTCTGAAAGTTCCCAAAAATGAACTTAGTTCAGAACATGGGAGCTCTGACAGGTGTTGGGAGCCCCAAAATAACTTTGCTGCTGTATCTTCACATGCTCTGCTGTATCCTCTAGAATTGGTTAGTTAGGACACTGAGTACAGGTCCCGAAAGATCCCTTTTATCCCTGTGTTTCTGACCTCTGCAAATACCTCAGGTAACTGTTAGTTATCTGCTTTGATGCAGATGTTGGTGATATTGGCTCTTTCTAACCCGAGGTCTGTTATTTAAATAAAACAGCAAGACTCGGCAGTTACCAAGGGATTAAAAACTTGCCACGTGTGCCTTAACTTTCCTTTCAGAAGTTAAGCCTTGGCTCAGTTCTCATGTTTGGGCTAACTGGAGGTTTCCCCTGCTGTTTGCCCAGGTGCTGTCGGTGTGTGTGGAGGAGGAGAACATCATCCCCTACATCACCAACGTGCTGCAGAACCCCGACCTGGCGCTGCGGATGGCCGTGCGCAACAACCTGGCGGGGGCTGAGGAGCTCTTTGCCAGGAAATTCAACGCGCTCTTTGCACAAGGGAACTACTCTGAGGCAGCAAAAGTGGCAGCCAATGCCCCAAAGGTAATGGGGCTGCTGTTCAGAGCAGCACTCAACTCCTCTGGCTCGAGCTTCTTGCTGCAGGAGAGCTGAATTGCCTGAGTGGCAAGAGCAGAGCCTCGTTACTGCTCCTGCCCTAACGCTGTGCTGGGTGTGAGTGGTGATTCTCTGCTGGATGAGCTTAAAGCCTGTGTGAAGCCCACAGAGGAGGGGAGGAATAAATGATGAAGTAGTGGCTGTGAGGCATAACATTTCTGGTACTTAGGTTTACTTGTCCAGTGATTAAAAAAGTGTCTGTGAGAAGACAACTTCAGGGTGTGGCTGCACCTGGAAACAAGATAAAAAGGACAGACAAAGGGACTAAATTTAGATGAGATGAACTTGCTTGTAAGGAGAAGGATGTCTTAATTCTGCACTTAAATTTGCAGTGCTACTGAAGCAAATCTAATGGGCTACTATAGCACATTTTCTGTCAGAACATCTCAGACAGTGTCTGAGCTGATGTGCAGCCATATTGCTCCTGACATTCTGGGCTGGCACAACATAGAAATGCTGGTGACAGCTACAGTGACATGAACTCCAGCTTTCTGGAGGAACTCTTGCCAAGCCACAACAGCAGCAAAGGAAATGAAAGTGCCTGTCTCTGTCTGGCAGGGAATCCTTCGTACTCCAGACACTATCCGCCGCTTCCAGAGTGTCCCAGCTCAGCCAGGACAGACCTCCCCTCTGCTCCAGTACTTTGGCATCCTGCTGGACCAGGGGCAGCTGAACAAGTACGAGTCCCTGGAGCTGTGCAGACCGGTGCTGCAGCAGGGCCGCAAGCAGCTCCTGGAGAAATGGTTAAAAGAAGACAAGGTGAGTTTGGGGTCGATATCTTTAGAGCCATGAGGGTTGGGGTGGAACATAAATGCCTGACAGCTTCCTCACCTCCCCAGGAAAAATCAGCTGGGAGCTCCTCAGTGCCTGGTGTGGTCACACAGCTGAGCAATAGGGTGTTCACTGTGCCCATGGCTGTGACTCACGTTCCTGCAGGGGAATCGATCAAACACCAGGAGCTTCACTCATTGCACTTCCAATCCCAGCAGGGTGCAGCCAGTGTGGAAAACCTCTGAGCTGCTGCTGCTGCTCTTGCCAAGCCACTCCTTGGGATGCTGCCTTGCATATGCTTGGAGCTGCGCTTACATTTCTGTAATTAGCCCAAGAAGCATGCTGATATGTGTCATCCATTCTTTTTAGCTCTAAAAATGCCTTTGACTCCCATGGAACAGCATGAGGAACAATCCCTGCTCAAACAGTTGGCTGAGGCTATCAAGCTTTTTTTTTAAACAAATCCAAAAGGAAAAGAAATGAGGAAGAAGGTGGTAGTGGATTTCAGCGTGGCATGGCAGGGTGGGCTGACTGTGTTTATGTCTTCAAACAGCTGGAGTGCTCGGAGGAGCTGGGAGACCTCGTGAAATCTGTAGATCCTACACTAGCACTGAGTGTCTATCTGAGAGCCAACGTTCCAAACAAGGTCATCCAGTGTTTTGCTGAAACAGGACAAGTCCAGAAGATTGTTTTGTATGCTAAGAAGGTGAGAAGAAATTAAATTGCCATATCAATCCTTCATTTAAGAATAATTAGTGTATGTTCCAAAGCAGCTGAGGGTAACTGGGGGGGAATCTGAGAACCTGTAGTACCTACTTTGCCCTCAAAGTTGTAATGCATAATTACTGCTGGAGTTCAGACATGCATCTTGTCAAACTTCTCTATGTAACCTTTTCCAAAGGAGGAGATCCTGACTGGGTTGTAACCTAACTGTAGCTTTTACTGAGCTCTTCCTTTTCATTCTCTCTCCAGGTTGGATATACTCCAGACTGGATATTTTTGCTGAGGAATGTAATGAGAATCAGCCCTGATCAAGGACAGCAGTTTGCACAAATGCTTGTTCAAGATGAAGAGCCTCTTGCAGATATAACACAGGTAAATAATTTCATTGCACTGAACATAACTTCAGTGACGTTCAAGGCATTAAATTGATTGGAGTGTGGCTCCTCTTACCAGAGAGAGATTTTGAACTCCAAGTTTGCATTTGCCTTAGTGGGACAAGGCTGTTTCATGCCTGGTTTTAGAACACTGAATGACACCTTAGTGCAACATCAGAATAAATGGCTTAGCTTTGGCAGCTGCACTTGATGGCACTTTGTTTAAACATCCAGTTTTTAATCAAAAGCCTGAATTTCCTCCTTTTTTTTTTTTTTTTTTTTTTGCAGATTGTGGATGTCTTTATGGAATATAATCTAATCCAGCAATGCACAGCCTTCCTGCTGGACGCCCTGAAGAATAATCGCCCCTCCGAAGGCCCCCTGCAAACGCGTTTACTTGAGATGAACCTCATGCACGCCCCTCAGGTGCGTGCTCAGAGCCCTGCCCAGGCTTGGCTGGAGCTGGTCCCGCTGCTCAGGGACTGAGGGAGATTTCCAATATCCCTTCTAGGTTGCAGATGCCATCCTGGGAAACCAAATGTTTACTCACTACGACCGGGCTCACATAGCTCAGCTGTGCGAGAAGGCCGGATTGCTGCAGAGAGCCCTCGAGCACTTCACCGACCTCTACGACATCAAGCGCGCCGTTGTTCACACTCACCTCCTCAACCCCGAGGTAGGGCACCAGACATCCTGCATCTGCAAAAAAAAACAGGCCATTGAGAGTGGCTTTGGGAGTGTGGAGTGCTCTGCTCGGGTCTAAAACGGCTTCTGTGTCTTCGCAGTGGTTGGTGAATTATTTCGGGTCCCTGTCAGTTGAAGACTCCCTGGAGTGTCTGCGTGCGATGCTGTCCGCCAACATCCGTCAGAACCTGCAGATCTGTGTCCAGGTGGCTTCAAAGTACCATGAACAGCTGTCAACACAGTCACTCATTGAGCTCTTTGAGTCCTTCAAGAGCTTTGAAGGTAAGTTTTGAAGGTACTTTTGCAAGAGGAGCTGATGCTCTCCTCCTCCTCCATATCTGTCTGCTGAAATCCAGAAAGCCATACTGAACTTTGAGTAGTTAGGCCTTAAAACTGTCTTGAAACCTGGCCCAAACCTAAAAGTTTCCCCCTTGAGGAGGAGCACCAACATGTTTTTCTGCGTATTTTGTTTTTCTGAAATGCTACGAAAAGTTTGGAGCTGTAGAAAAATGTATATAAAATGTAAACTGAAGGGGCTGCTGGCCTTTTTCCATTGTCCAAAATGGTCATCTTGACTTTGTGTAACCTTTGGGATTTGGGCTTTTGTACTTCTCAACAAGACCAGCAGAATAACGTGTTAATTGTTTCTCTCCAGGTTTGTTTTATTTCCTGGGCTCTATTGTAAACTTCAGCCAGGATCCAGATGTGCACTTCAAGTATATTCAAGCTGCCTGCAAGACAGGACAGATTAAAGAAGTGGAAAGAATCTGCAGGGAAAGTAACTGCTACGATCCAGAACGTGTTAAGAACTTCCTCAAGGTAATGTTTGGGTGTCACTGCACTGTCTTGGCCTGTTTGGGGTTCTGATAAAACATGATGTTGAAAGTAGATGAGCTTGACCTTTGCACTTAAGGATCCAACTGTCCACTTACTCCAGAGGTATCTACCACGTTGACAGTGCCTCCTAATAAAGTGTGAGCCTGGAATATTATCTAAACAGTGGAGGATCTGACAGATCAGTCTCTCACTGCTCTTAGGGAGGTTAATCTGGCTTGAACTCTTAAAAATGTAGTAATTGCACCAGCTCACCCAGAAGTTGTTACAGCTGTGTACTGTAAAGTAGCAAACCATTTACCTGGAAGGTTGAGAACAACCATAATGCCAAACGAGTTGATAACTTGATTATTTCCAGTGTAATCAACTTCAGCTGAGCCACTGCAGAAACAACAAGTGACTGCTGTCCATTCATTCCATAAATGCTTTGCAGGAGTTCTGGGCTCCATAAAGAGCTGCTGACTGATGTTACTGCTGGGGTTCAGAGCTGAAACATTGCTGGAGAGTAGGAAGAGATGGTGTGCTCAGAGTTCAGATTCTGTGGTCCTTGTCCTGAGCTTATTGACAAATCCAGCACTACTCTGAATACCTGAGGAACCGTGTGGGAGGGGAAAACTTTATCTGGGAACATTTCCTGCCTTCATGTTTGTTGGTTACATAGCATAGTCTTAGATTTTGCTGATCATATCTGAAGATGGCAAAACTCTTCCCAAGAGAATTCTCTAAAACTGACCTGGTGTCACCGAGGTGTAAGGTATGTCATTTGATCAAGCCACCTAAGATATGTTATCAAGCTGTCAAATTCCTGATGAAAGTTATTGTTTTTTGTGCTGTTCCATGTCTGGAATGTGCAGGACATGTACCAGGTAAATCTCCCAGTACAGGCCTCCCTGTGTAAAGTCCTTAAGTGTAATTTCTATGTAGGATTATATTCTGGGATGTGCATGTTGGAATAAGTGATCTGAAATACGCATCGGGAATACTGTCTGCCACATAGACTAAGCTTCTGTACTGTAACCATTGTAACCTCATGCTGAAAGTTGGAATGCTTTTAGATAACTAATCTGAGAGGCAATTTCAGTAGCACTGCTGCAGTCCTCTAAATCCATGGTCAGGAGGTACCACAAGGCACATGGCACTCGAAGTCAATTCTGTGGATGAGTTTTACGTGACGAATCACAACTTCATCCAGTCTTGGTTAAATTTGTTTTGAAATCCCAGAGTGCTAATCCTGCACACCAAACACCAGTGGCAACTCAAAATACTCTCTCTAGCTTAGGCTTGTAATAGTTGTATTGTGCTGTAAAACCCTGTAGACTCTGCCATGCAGGGTTCAACTCCAGAAAGCTTCTCTCGCTCTCCACGCCCTGCAGTGGGAGTTGAGTACTCCTACTTTGCTCCATATTGCAAACAATTAGTTGAACAACAAGCTGTCATCATTTGGTTGAGTTTCAGCTTTCCAAATTCAGCTGCTTTAACAGTTTTAAGTGACTGTATTTGTCTGCTTAAGCCCAAGAGCAGAACCCAATTCCTGAAGCTGTTCTCTTTCTAGGAAGCCAAACTCACTGACCAGCTGCCTCTCATCATTGTGTGCGACCGCTTTGACTTTGTCCACGACCTGGTGCTGTATTTGTACAGAAACAACCTCCAAAAATACATTGAGATTTATGTACAGAAGGTGAGTTCCAGCGTGGCTTCAATGGGGCAAACTGATCAGTGTTCCCAGTGTTAAACACAGGGCCTGTAGCTGTACACAAGTGTTCTGCAAACAGCTTCATACGTGAGACTGGCACTGAAATACCTGTTAGTGGCCTCCAGTAAATCAGCCCTGACGTGAATCAGATCTCATTCTCCAGCCAGGTTGAGCAGTAACCCCCACTGATGTGCCTCTTGGAGGAGGAAGACTTGGTAGAATAACCCTGGGCTTCTTGGGGTGATTTTAACTCCCAGCATTTTGCAGGGGTGGAGGGGCAAGTTCTCCTTCAGGGACAAAGTGGATTGCTCAGGAGGTATTCCTTTGGGAACTGAGCATTAGGGAGCCACTGAGCTGGGGTGTGAACACCTGTTGACTGAAGAACTGACTTCCAGCCTTGTCCACAACCTCAGGAAGCTGGGAGTAAAGGCAGGAAGATGGGATCAGTCTTAGCCTTCATGTGTAGCTCTAGGGCTGAGTATTGGCTGTGCTGCAGGACCACGCACTGACCTCTTCCAATGATCCTGTTTAGGTGAATCCAAGCCGCCTGCCAGTTGTGATTGGGGGACTGCTTGATGTGGATTGCTCTGAAGATGTGATCAAGAACCTCATCCTTGTAGTGAGAGGTCAATTTTCGACTGATGAGCTTGTTGCAGAGGTTGAGAAAAGAAACAGGTATTAAACTTCTACGAGTCTCTTAACATTGCCAGTCTGGCTGTGTCAAACTGCTCATCCATCAGTGCATGTGCTCATCACACAGCTAAAGCTGGTACTGACACAACCAGAACTGCTGCTGGGTGAGCAACCAGCTTTACTCCTTGGCTGATGTGGGCATCTCACCTTTGAGGGATGAGATGAGCCTTTGGCATGTGATCCTCTTCACAGGATCAGAAAGTTACACCATTATATTACAGAACCAAAATTGAGGTTAAAATGGAGCGCTGTAACTCTGGTTTAGTTCCTGACTCTGTCCTATTTATAGCAGAGAAACTGTGCAAGTGGATACTTAATTCACTCAACCTCTCTAATGCGAAAATCACTTCCTTCTAGGCTGAAGCTGCTTCTGCCCTGGCTGGAAGCCAGAATTCACGAGGGCTGTGAGGAGCCTGCGACCCACAATGCACTGGCCAAAATATACATTGATAGCAACAACAACCCCGAGAGGTTCCTGCGTGAGAACCCTTACTACGACAGTCGTGTTGTTGGCAAGTACTGTGAGAAGAGGGACCCTCACCTGGCCTGTGTGGCTTACGAGCGTGGACAGTGCGATTTGGAGCTCATTAATGTATGTATGCCGAGGCAGCTGGCTCGGGGGTAAAGGTCTGGCATGAGTGGTGTGGGATAGATGGTCAGGTTTAGCACAAAAGCATTTATTTCCTGAATATGGGAAGGTGGGAACTGCATGATTCTGATGGAATAGGAGGTAGTGGTTTAATGTCCCTCTGTGGCTTAATGAGAAATGGGGGAGGCTGAGGTTCCAGTCAGCCTCTCAGGCAGGTTTATTTAGTGCTGCAGTGCAATTATCCACTGCAGGCTGGGTAGCTGTGACTTTCCCTCTGAGCAGACCGTGCCTTTCCCCAGGTGTGCAACGAGAACTCCCTCTTCAAGAGTCTCTCCCGATACTTGGTCCGTCGCAAAGACCCCGAGCTGTGGGCCAGCGTGCTGCTGGAGAGCAACCCTTACAGGAGACCCCTCATCGACCAGGTACCGCTGTCAGGCCAGCAAAGCCTTGGCTGCCCCACCCTGACCTGCAGGACCTGACTGGGCTGATTTGCTGATGGCCTGACTCTGCCTGCAGGTTGTCCAGACAGCGCTGTCGGAGACCCAGGACCCCGAGGAGGTCTCTGTTACTGTGAAGGCTTTCATGACTGCAGACCTTCCCAATGAGCTCATTGAGCTGCTGGAGAAAATAGTTCTTGACAACTCCGTGTTCAGTGAGCACAGGTGAGGAAAATCAAAGCCAAGCCACGGGAAAGCTTGGAATTCTATCAGGTGCTGTAATGTGGAACAGCAAATGAACTACTGCCTTCTCCAGAGGGGAGGGGCAATTTATTGATGGCTTCTTGATAAATACTAATGTTTTCTTTCCCTCCAGGAACCTGCAGAACCTCCTCATCCTGACAGCCATCAAGGCTGATCGTACCCGTGTCATGGAGTACATCAACCGCCTGGACAACTACGACGCCCCAGATATCGCCAACATAGCCATCAGCAACGAGCTCTTCGAGGAGGCGTTTGCCATCTTCAGGAAGTTCGATGTCAACACATCAGCTGTGCAGGTATCTTGAAATCTCAGGCTGTAGGAGCTCCCTGTGACTTGTGCATCCCCACACGAGGGCTTGGCTGGTAACTTGTGACTTGAGTACTTACCACCAGTTGGGAGAGTGACCAAAGCTGCTCAGTGCCTTTTGAATTAGGACAAGTGTTGTTTATTGAACCCTGTAGTGAGTGAAACTTTGCAAGCCTGAAATCCCCCACGCTGTGTGGGTTGTGTATGGTCAGTGCCTGTTTTAAAAGCTGTGGATCCATTGAAAAACCAACATAAACCACAGCTTGGTGTCTTGTAAAACTGGCCTTTGTGGTAGTGGAGGGGCTGATCTCGGCTGTCCCGTTTTTAGGTGTTGATAGAGCACATTGGGAACCTGGACCGCGCGTACGAGTTCGCGGAGCGCTGCAACGAGCCCGCGGTGTGGAGCCAGCTGGCCAAGGCACAGCTCCAGAAGGGGATGGTAAAGGAAGCCATTGACTCCTACATTAAAGCAGATGATCCTTCCTCATACATGGAGGTTGTTCAAGCTGCTAATGCCAGTGGTATGATTAAGTTTTGGTTCCATCTTTGCTGTTGATGTTGCTCAGCTCTTTTGCCTGGTCTGCTCGAACTGCAGTCCTGCCAGACTTGTATCTTGATGCAAGTAGAGGAATCTGGTCCTGCAAAGACTGCCCTAAATGAGAATGGGAAAAGGTAGGGTATTGCATTTGCAGATCATCTGTGGTCTTATAACTGTCTTCTTCAGCTAATTGGAGACTTCTGTCAGAGCAGGAGGTCTTTGCATGAAGTTAAAGACCAGGATTTTAGTCAGGCCTGTTGTAAGCTGACTTTATTAATCTAATGTGCATATGTGAAGTGTGAAGGCTGGTTTTGATTGTTGGGAAATAGCTGTAGAAATACTCACGTCCAACCAGGTTGAGCTGATAGTGTAGCTTAAGTATAAATGTCCTCAAGGGTGGGAAGTAAAAATTCTGAACTGCTTTTCCTAGGGAACTGGGAAGAGCTGGTGAAGTATCTCCAGATGGCACGGAAGAAGGCCCGGGAGTCGTACGTGGAAACGGAATTAATCTTCGCTCTTGCTAAAACCAACCGGCTGGCAGAGCTGGAGGAGTTCATCAACGGCCCCAACAACGCACACATCCAGCAGGTGAGTGAGAGTGGGGTGGTTTTGCTCAATCACAGCTCCTTCAGCCTTGCTGCCCGCAGGGGTGCTGGGACTTCGGTCTCTTTGGATGGATCTTGGGCTTTAGAGACGTTTGATAACGGCTCAGACGCTCCACGTGACTGGGAACGTGCGAGGCTGACCTGTCGCGCTGTCCCTCAGGTGGGCGATCGCTGCTACGACGAGAAGATGTACGAGGCGGCCAAGCTGCTGTACAACAACGTGTCCAACTTCGGCCGCTTGGCCTCCACCCTGGTGCACCTCGGGGAGTACCAGGCGGCCGTGGACGGCGCTCGGAAAGCCAACAGCACCCGCACGTGGAAAGAGGTGAGCTGGGATGGGAAGGTCTTCCAGAGGTCCCCTGAAAGGACTTGGAGGCCTGGATGATAAACAGTGACACACTGGTCACTTCCAGGTCTGCTTCGCTTGTGTGGATGGGAAAGAATTCCGCCTGGCTCAGATGTGTGGGCTCCACATCGTGGTGCACGCGGATGAGCTGGAGGAGCTGATCAACTACTACCAGGTAATTAACTGGCTCCTGTTACACAGTCAATTCTTTCATGGCAATTCTGCCCAAAACTGGAGCTGTAGGGCCAGGATGGTTCCTGATGTGAAGTGTCTGTACCTCGCAGGATCGTGGCTACTTTGAGGAGCTGATCACCATGCTGGAAGCAGCACTTGGGCTCGAGCGAGCACACATGGGGATGTTCACAGAGCTAGCAATTCTCTACTCCAAATTCAAGCCACAGAAGATGAGGGAGCACTTGGAGCTGTTCTGGTCCAGAGTCAACATCCCTAAGGTGAGTAGCTGAGGGCTGAAATTTAGCTTGAAACACATTTATCTGTACCCTGGCTTTTGCAATAGCAGCTCTTGAGGTTATTAATGGCACTAAAGGCTGAGCACTGATGGAAATCCCTGTTAACATATTGTTAATTATGCCTTTCTTAGGTTCTGAGAGCTGCAGAACAAGCCCATCTCTGGGCTGAACTGGTGTTCTTGTATGATAAGTATGAAGAGTATGATAATGCCATCATCACAATGATGAATCACCCAACAGATGCTTGGAAAGAAGGCCAGTTCAAAGATATCATCACTAAGGTATTGCTTTCCTAGTGAAAGGAGGTAAATGTCCTGCTATGTGCACTTCAGTTCTCTTCCTTCATTAGTAGCCTTGTTTGAAACGCAAACTTCTTGATATCGCCACATGATTTCAAAGCAACTACAATTTACAGTAACTAAAGAGATTTCTAGAGACAAGGATGAATCTTGAGTGGCTCAGTTTTGCAGAATTATCTCAAGTCACGTCTGTCTTTCATTTGGGTTTCCCTACAGTCAAACCTGTGCTCTGAACGTGCATCTCTGCTCATCTGCAGGTGGCCAATGTGGAGCTGTATTACAAGGCAGTTCAGTTCTATTTGGAATTCAAACCTCTCTTGCTCAACGACCTGCTGATGGTGTTGTCCCCTCGGCTTGACCACACTCGTGCTGTCACCTTCTTCACAAAGGTAATTTTCCTGCTATCCAGCTCAAATTGAAGGCTGCAGCTGGGAAAGCATTTACCCGTAGCAGCACTTGAAAATGCTTGGCTGCTTCCCCTGCCTCACAGGGAAGATGCTGAGACATCCACAAAGAGTGGAATTAAATGTGCCTCCCTGATTGTCTGCAGGTTAAACAGCTGCCCCTGGTTAAGCCTTACCTGCGCTCAGTTCAGAACCACAACAACAAATCAGTGAATGAGTCCCTCAACAACCTCTTCATTATTGAAGAAGACTACCAGGTATGCCTTGAAGCAGCTGATACCTAATGTTGTCTGTGCCTTGGGGTAGAAGGGGCCATTCCTGAATCTCTGGCTTCTGTGTCAGGGCTCACCTCCTGTTCTCAGTCTGTTTAATATCTAGAAACACAGGTTTCTTGTCTTCAGTAGTTTTTACCTGTTTGCTGTTAACTTGAATTCCTTAAGTATGTGTTCTTCCACACTTCAAACTGACCTAGAGGTGGGAGGCCAAGGATGAAGTAGAGAACTGTTAGTGGCTTTCTGGGAGCTTTTTGTGTCATTCCTGCTGGGAGCAGAGTGGCTGCTGTGTTATGAGTGTGACAGAGCAGCTCTTATTTATAAAAGGTAAACAGTGGGTACTGAGGAAAGAACTCACAGAAGAGGCAAGCAGTGATGTCTGTCTGTTCTGCTGTTCCCAGAGAACAGCTCTTGGTATTGAGAGGCTCTTCACCTCAGTAACCACTGCTGAAAAGTACTGCCTGAAATAACATAAAACTCATGTGTGTCAAAGAAAAAAATGGGAGATGTCTGTGCAGGTCTGGCTGGAATAGTTGACCCTCCTGGAATCAGGAGTACAGAACTAAGATGCGTGGCAGATGCTTGCACTTTGAGGATGCAGTTGCACATCTGAGGTGCCAGTAACTGGTTTCCTTTTTCTATTTCTGCCTAACTCAGGCTCTTAGGACTTCTATAGATGCTTACGACAACTTTGACAACATCTCCCTGGCGCAGCGGCTGGAGAAGCACGAGCTGATCGAGTTCCGAAGGATCGCCGCCTATCTCTTCAAAGGGAACAACCGCTGGAAGCAGAGCGTGGAGCTCTGCAAGAAGGACAGGCTCTACAAGGTGAGAGCAGCCCTCACCCCGGGCTGGGCAGGCCTGCCACGGCTTTCTGCTCAGCAGGTGGCTGAACTCAGGTAAACAGCGTGCCCGGCATGCTCTGTGCCCCCGAGGCTGACGGTGTGTCCCGTTGCAGGATGCCATGCAGTACGCTTCGGAATCCAAAGACACCGAGCTGGCAGAGGAGCTGCTGCAGTGGTTCTTGCAGGAGAACAAGAGGGAGTGCTTTGGGGCTTGTCTCTTCACCTGCTACGATCTCCTAAGGCCAGATGTCGTCTTGGAAACGGCGTGGAGGCACAACATTATGGACTTTGCCATGCCATACTTTATTCAGGTCATGAAGGAATACTTGACCAAGGTAAGAGCGGGTGCTTCTCCGACACCAGAGGCTTGTCAGTCACTGTGGTGATGCCTTGAGACTGTCTGCTTGCTACTAACATTGATTTGGGCTTTGTCAGATGTCTGTCTGTCCATGTCCACACTTATTTTTCAGTCCATCTGGGGAGAGACTTCGCCCTCTAAGAGACTGAAACACTTGCAGGCTCCACCCTCTCAATTCCAGAACCTACATCAGTAGTATTTGCCTGACCATGGGCAGTGTCTTAAAGGAGTTGCAGGATTCAGGCTTTTCATATGCTGTGTCAGTCAGGAATCCCAGCTGGGATCAAGCTTTAACTAAATTCTAGACTGTGTACTAAAAAAGCTTTACAGCTACATCTGGACATAACTTGTTCTGCTGTGCATTTAACTCTAAAACATGGCTCTGACAATTAATGGCACTAATTATGACTCAGCTCTTACTTGAAGTGACTCAGGATGGGGGAAGTACTTGGCAATGCTCTGACAGACTTGAACAGATGAGAGTTAAATCCAGCTGTCACTACAAGACTTGCCCAGCTGAAGCTTTTAGAGCATCTTCAGTGAAATGGTGTAAATTCCTTAATGATTAAGACTCTTCCCATGAAAGCTGGAGTTACTGGAGAGCAGAGTGCCTGTTTGGAGATGTGCCTGGCAAAGGCAGGAGGACTCTGCAGTCCTGCCAGTCTCCTTAACTGCTGGGTTTGGGGGAGGTGGGACTGTCTGAGCAGTGACACTGTCAGAGATGCTGATGTGCCAAGTAACACCAGGGCTCTGTTGAGAGCAGCAGGACTGGAGATGAACATTCCATGGTCTGCTGCAGGGGTGTAGCTGTAGTGCAGCTGGGAAATCACTGCAGTAAGAGCCAGCAACAAGCAGAGCTGCCTCTCTAAAGCAGATACTTCTGGTGTATCTTTGTTTTGACTCGCCTGTACCTTTTAACCATTTCTTCCCTGACGCTTTTGTTTCTGCCTTTTATATGCTAAATATGGAATTTGATTTTTCTAAGCTGCACCTTCTGAATTCCTTTGCAGGTTGATGCAATAAAGGAAAAGGTGAAAGTTGATTCTTGTTTTCCATCTTTAAGTCTGGAGGACTAAGTCTAAGGATTCTGCATGAGTTTTTTTCTTTCCTATGTTTACTACACTGCTGCTACTGCTTTTTCCCCAAACAAAATATCACTAAAGCATATGCAAATTGTTTAACTCTCAGTAGCTAGTGCTGTAGGAGAAAAGTAGATTCATTTGCTACTAATAAGCTAATAGATCCTCAGGAAGGGCATCCAGGTGATCAGTTGGATCACAGTCAATCTGGTATTGGAACAATGCACAAGTGCTACCATTTGACAGCCAATCTGACTGGAAGAACCTCCTGCAATGAGAAATAAGTCTGTGAGCCATAAATCAGTCTGGCATTTGCTGGTTAAGGACTGTGATCCAGTTTCTGATGCCTTGACCATGACTAATGTGTGCTGACAGTAGGCAGAGTAGATACTGGCTGCTTCAGAAGAGACTCCTCCTCACTCAGGTGTCCAGTTCTCATGGTGCTGGTCTAACCCCCACGGTGCTCTAGTTCACACAGAACTTAAAACTTCAGCTGTCACACAAGTCTGTGGTTCTCTCCCTGTAGTAAATTCCTAGTACTTGTCCAAAAAACGACTGCCTTCCGAGCTCTTCAGCTTCACTAAACTCCTCTTGCTACCTCATTAAAAACAAGACATAAAAATGGTAATGCTTATTGCTCTTCTGAGGCTACTCCAGGGCTTGCCTTTTTGCTGTGCAATTTGGACCTTCAGAAGGGCAATGCAAGGTCTCTGTCCCTCTGCCTCCCCACAAACCCCACTGGGATTCTCCTTAGCCCAGGGCTCAGCCCTAGTGGGAGTTTTTTTCCATTAATGTGGTTCAGACAAAGTGACAAACGGCTTTGCAGGTGAACTGAATGCAAAGTGTTGCAAATTCACCACTGGCACTCAGGGCTGAGCTGACCAGCAGTAGTGTGAGGCCCTTCAGCAGTAGTCAGTGAGGCACTAGGAGAGCGTGTGTGTGAAACAAAGGTCCTTGAACTGCAGTGTTTGCATAACCTGAGCATGTGTAGCGGTCATTGCAATTACATCCCACTCTTCCTTAAGCTCCAAGGCATTGCTGTGGGCTGCTGTGGTTTTCTGGGGGGAGCCTGTCTGGCAGTCATCTTCAGCCCTCACTCGTGCTTCAGCCCTCTCGCCTCTTCCTCATGCACACATGACACGAGAACATTGAATGCATGTTACTTTTCCTCTGCAGCTTCTTGCAGTCCCTGTGGAAAAGCCTTGAAATCAATCTTGCCACAAGTGTGTAGGGCCCTGAACCTGGTGATGCTCGGGCAAGGGGTGTAAGGACCACCCTGGGGGCTGGGTCCCAACTCGCGCTTGTTACTGTCGATACTCGTTGAGCTCCGAGGGGAGGCATCAAAACTGGGCCAGAAATGCATTGACTGTCCTGGGCTGGAGGCTTTCCAAGTGCGTGGAAGCCAAATGCCTCTGCTTAGTGGCAACCTCTGCACATTCCTCCTTGGATTTGCATCTCTCTGAACTTGTGCTTCTGTGTTCAGTGTGTTGCTGTTTGAGTTGAAAACAGTGCAGTTCTCAGCACAGGGGCTGGGATGAGTCTGGGAGTGCTGGCACACGAGCCTGGGGTGAGGCAACAACCATGAAAGCCCAGTCAGGGAGGGAACTTCATTCTGCCACCTGCTGGGTTTGTGCCTCAGCTGGAGGTTAGGTGTGTTCCACTAACCTGTTAACCCATAACTCACAGCTGAGAGGAAGAGTCCCAGCTCCCAGAGACTGTTAATGCAGCACAGTTAAACGGGAAACCGTCCATCTGCAGGGTGTTGGTGCAAGCTGAATAAGTAACACTGCCCCTGTGTAGGTGCAGGAAACCTGTCTTCAAACTCCTTTATGAAGGACACGAATGAAATGAAAGGTGAATCTGGTTTGTGAGTTGTCTTAACTGTCTTTAAAAGCCATTTGGCGTGATTGACTTTAAATCTTATCTCCCAGGTAAAATACCAATGCCTCATTTTGTGGTTTTAGTTTCAGGGCCTGCCTTAGAGTGTAGAAATGCTGGGTTCCCTTGGATCTGTTTTAGTAACAAGCCACGTTTCACTGCAGAATAAGTCTCTTCTCTTGCCTTTCTGTAGGGGTGGGCTGAGAGCACGAGTGCACTCGCTGTGCAGCACTGGAGCTGGCCAGGCTTGTGTCCTTACTGTGTGTTCAGCTGGAAGAATTGGAGAGTATCTGTGGGTTTAGGCTGACTGCCACACAGTTCTGGAGTGGAAAAAGCAAGTCTTATACACATGCATTCTCTGCATTTGAACTTAAATTGCATGAGTGAATGGGTTTGGAAAGTGAAATCTTGAGGCTCAAGTGACATGTCGGATGCTATTGCAGTCTGCTGTACCTAAATCAGATTATTGTCCCTCAGTCTTCAGGGAACCTTCTCCTGCTCCAGTGCCAAAGGTCTCCAACTGAGACTGTGCTCAAATCCCAGTTTGTCCTAAAGGCTGTTGGTTTGAAGTAGCTGGAGCCACCCTGATGAGCCAATTCCTGCTGTCCAAGTAGCTCCAGTGCCATCCGGAGCCTGCCCGGGCCTGGAGGGAGCTTACAAAGCATTTACACAAATGCCTCGAGGAGGGCTTTCCTCAGGAAACAGAACCTTGACTGCACCAGTACCAACATTGCTACTTGAATTGATCTTAACTTGTAAATGGTCTCCTTTTCTGGATGGGTGTTAACATAACCACTAAGGCTTTTCCACTTCTCTGCCACAAGTAAGTGCCTGTTGTAGAGGAGATTTTTTTTTTAATTGTTGGTCTCGATTCCAGGTGGATAAACTGGATGCCTCGGAGTCTTTGAGAAAGGAAGAGGAGCAAGCTACAGAAACACAACCTATTGTTTATGGTAATTGCTCTTAAAACGACACTTCTCTAATCTTGGTTTTTCCCAAGGAAATCCTGGGAAATTGGAATGTTCTTCATGAGAAATCAAGTCTTAGGGAACGTGTTCCAAAATGCTAGAGCAGTGCCACTCTGAAGCTATGGCTGATGAGGTGGGCTGTGGGCCTGCAGGACCTCAGCTTGTCCTGGCTCGTTCAGGGAGGGTGTGCAGGAGCTGTGCTGTCCTAGCCTTGAGCAAGTGCATTGTTTGGCTCTTGTCCAACACGGGTATTGTCTTTGTATCTGGGTTATTCCACTACTTCTGGTGAGAGTTTCTTCATACACTTCACAGTGCAGTGTTCTTAGCACTTACTCCATCCTGCTGTTCTGTGGGGAAACACCCCCCTGGCCTACAGACCCCCCATGAGCTCTGCAGGGACTCCCAGACCCCCCATGAGCTCTGCAGGGACTCCCAGACCCCCGTGAGCTCTGCAGGGACTCCCAGACCCCAAAGGTGCTCGGCAGGGCCTCACAGACCCCACATGAGCTCTGCAGGGACTCCCAGACCCCCCATGAGCTCTGCAGGGACTCCCAGACCCCCTGTGAGCTCTGCAGGGACTCCCAGACCCCACAGCAGCTCTGCAGGGACTCCCAGACCCCACACCCGCTCATCAGGGACTCCCAGACCCCACAGCAGCTCTGCAGGGACTCCCAGACCCCCTGTGAGCTCTGCAGGGACTCCCAGACCCCCCGATGAGCTCTGCAGGGACTCACAGACCCCACACCAGTTCATCAGGGACTCCCAGACCCCACACCAGTTCATCAGGGACTCCCAGACCCCCCACCAGCTCTGCAGGGACTCCCAGACCCCCCACCAGCTCTGCAGGGACTCCCAGACCCCACACCAGTTCATCAGGGACTCCAAGACCCCCCCTGAGCTCGGCAGGGACTCCCAGACCCCACAGCAGCTCTGCAGGGACTCACAGACCCCACAGCAGCTCAGCAGGGACTCCCAGACCCCACAGCAGCTCTGCAGGGCCTCGCTGTTGCCCACCCACACCCCCCAGGTGGTTGCAGGGGGTTTGCTGAGCGCAGGGCTCTGACGCTGCCGTTTTGTGTTGCAGGCCAGCCCCAGCTCATGCTGACAGCGGGACCCAGCGTGGCAGTTCCTCCACAAGCACCTTTTGGCTACGGCTACACCGCCCCTCCCTACGGGCAGCCCCAGCCTGGCTTTGGGTACAGCATGTGAGCTGCAGCTCAGCTCGCTCGGGAGCAGCGTCTTTTCTTACTGAAACTCCACCGTCCCTCCCCGCTTTAACTCATAACAGGGAAAAGCAAAGAGTTCTGCCTCGTGTTCTTGTAACCTTGATTTCATGAAGGACTGGTTTTTTCTAGCGCCAACGATTTGAATCACTTCTGTTTAAAATCTTTTTTTTTTTTTTTTTTTTCACATTCCATGTCATTTAGACTTTTACTTTCAGAGGGGGAATGGTTTAAAAAACGACTTTGTTCAAGTGGGCTTTTGCAGGACTGCTTATTACCATTAAGTCTATTGTGAAGATCCTGATTTGCACTCTATAGTGTTACACTCTAATATTGAATCTTAAGTTCATTGTATGTGAGCAGCTTTACGGTATGTACTGTCTATTCTAAATGCATTTTCAGTCTCACTGTATATTTGGAGAAAGCTAAAGCCAAGATACTCGTATTTGACCTTGCAAGACTGCTGACAAGAGACAACACTAATCAGCATATCCTCCCTGGGTTGGATTGCATAGCTCTAAAAGAATTTACAATGCGTACAGACAACCTTGCCTGACTTCAAATGAGTAAAAAATTTTGGGTTTTTTTTGTTGGTTTTGTTTTTTTGGTTTTGTTTTTTTTTTCCTTAACCTATGCAGGTTTTTCCAGTTATGCATATAGAAAAATGCTAGTGTCTTTTTGCTCACTCCATATGTAACAGATGACCTTATGTTGTGCTGTATCCTGTGCTTTTTGTGGGACATTCCATTCAGGAACAGAGCACCATGATTCCAATCTGTGTATTTACTAACCCTGCCCTGAGGTTTGTGTATGTTGGATATTGTGGTGTTTTAGATCACTGTTTTGAGTGTACAGAAGAGAGAATTCAAAGCATATTTGCTGTTCAGTTTTGTTTGTGCAATTTGAAATGACGCGATTTAAAAATAAATTACTGGACTGTGGACATGCTGCACAGTGGTAGCTTCTACTTTACTGTCTTCAAAAAAAGGACCTTCCAACTCAGCCCAAGTATTAACAGTGCTGCTGGTGTGGGGCAAGGCAGGCAGGGCTCTGAGGGGCCAGGAGAAGAGCAGCAATGGGGACCAGTAGTGGGGTCTTGCACTGAGGGGGCAATACAGGAAAATATGTAACGCTTTTTCTAGAGAAAGGTGATGGCAGAGAGAGAAATAAAAATAGCACTTTTCACCAGTTGGCTGCACTGTGGTCAACTCCAGCAGATTTGAGCAGATGATACGTTAGGATTGTGGTAGGGTGTGCCAGTTCAATTGAGATCATGTTCTAGGTATGTAAATTGCCTTAAACATATTTAGCTTCAAATAAAATTGACTTAAATGTTTCTCTATGAATACTGTCATATTTGAGTGTAATGAGTCTTACAGCACTGGCCACTGTTTGGGTTGGTGAGAGCTGCCAGAGCTCCTGTCTCAACCAGGGGCCGCACTTGGTGTCAGGATCCAACTCTGAGGCCAAATCCCCTTCTCCCTCGCTCCTGGGAGCTCCACAGTGATGTCTCTGAAAGGATTGTGCAGTATAAAAACTCATGTCAGCCCCTCTGCCACTCCCCCTGACTCCACAAACACGACTGATGGAGACAGATCCTTCTGTTCCCTCCCTTACAGCCTGTCCCATTGGCACTGTTTTCCAGCGTGGCTGAGAGGCTGTAAAAGGTGCTCAGCAGAGTTCTCACAAACCAGATTTGTTACAAAACTGACCTGCAGAAATTCCAGCAGCTGGAAGTGCAGGGAACTTCCCTGTTTACAGTAGAATTTGCCTGAGCTGTGATCAGTGTGCTCTGAACTGTCCAGTAGCATCTGTAACTCCTTCCTTGAACCCGGGAGGAGCAGTTAACCCCAAATAAAATGGGATTTAAGTTAGTCCCGGTGTGCCAAGCTGGCTGGCTGGGGGTAACTCCCACCTTGGCTAAACTGCACATTTCTGTAGGAGCCACAGAGACCCATCCAGAGCTCAGAGCTCAGCTTGCAGCTGCTCCCCACAGCAATTTACTGGCTCCTAAGGCTTGGCTGCAGACCCAGTTTAACCAGTCAGTCCCGTACTGGTTACCAGTGCCTACCTGGGTTGCTCTCCCTGGACCTGGGCAGGGCTGCAGTTCCCCCCCCCAGCAATCTGGGGGGATTTTTAACTGCTTCAGCCACTTTCTGAGTTAAGGAATGGATCTCTTCAAAAACAGGCAGAAAGGGGAAACCTGCCAGTTTGAGCACATGGGATGAATTCTCTTGAACTTTGCTACCACCCACCACGCAAAATCCTCAACCCCTTGCACGGGTTGTAAATACATGGGGTTCCTTCCTGGGGGTTGTAAAACTGCCACCTCTGCTTTCCTCAACCCCCCTGAGCCCAGCATTTTCCTCCCCCCTTCGGAACACAACACACAAGCCAGAGAAACTCATGATTTACAAATTTAAACCTTACAAAAACTTGCTTATTTTATTTGAACTGGGAGAGCACACGGAAAAACGCCCAAACTTGGATCGTAACCCTTCAGTACTGACATACATCGACTCTTTTTGGTCCTAGTTTAGAAGAGTTTAAGGTGACCAGAGACTTTATCTATGACATCAGCTGGCCCTGGCCCGATCCCCAGGACGGTCCTGGAGCCTGGAGCTATCTGAGTACGCCCAGCATCCTGGATCAAGCTCACGGTCAGTCCCAGGCGCTTCGCCTCAGCCAGGAGCTGGGCCAGAGTCTCCTCGTCGGGAGCTTTGAGGACTATTTTGGGTTGCCCACAGCACTCCCACTGCTTCAGGAGCTCGGGATTCCTTCTCTCCGCCTGCTTGTAGGCAGAAACAGCGGCGTGGGCGCACTGGGCCGCCACTTTGCCCTTGCCCATCTTCAGGTCGTTGCGGACGATCAGCACCATCTTGTACTCCCCGGACTCTGCCATGACGTCCGCCTCGCCCTCCAGGTTGTTGGCAGGTGGAGCCGTTCCAGCCTTGCGCTTCCTCAGGAGCCTCCCACGGAAGCCCCATCCCAGGCACAGACCACACGCCACTCCAGCCACGACGCCGAGGAGCTTGGGGAGAAAGTCCATGGTGGGTTCTGGGGACTGGCTGTGGAAGGGGAGAAGAGAATTTACTTGAGCATTTGGTGAGCTCTCACCTGGTTATCTGAAGAGGAACACTTGTTAGAAACACAAAAGGGGCAATTCCAGCTTCTCTCATTGGGAAAGGATGTTCAGGTACCTTTCCTCCCTCCCCAGCTGCAGGTCTTTAACTGCAGACACCTCACTGGTGATGGGTTTCAGCTCAGGAACAGAGCTAAGAACAAATGGCAAATTATCACTGATTCACAGAGTGGTTTGGGTTGGGAAGGACCTTGAAGATCACCCAGTTCCACCCCTGCCACGGGCAGGGACACCTCCCACTATCCCAGGGTGCTCCAAACTGCATCCAACCTGGCCTCGGACACTTCCAGGGATGGGGCAGCCACAGCTTCTCTGGGCAACCTGTGCCAGGGCCTCACCTCCATCACAGGCAAGAATTCATCCTAATATCCCATCTCTCTTTCAATTTGCAGCCATTCCTTGCCCTGTCACTCCATGCTCCATCTTTCCTCCAAGTCCCCTTCAGGCACTGGAAGGCCACAATTAGGTCACCCCAAAGCCTTCTGCGGGCTGAACAACCCCGGCTCTCTCCGCCTTCCCTCACGCCACACAACTACACCTAAAAACGCGCAGAGAAGCGGTAAAACGGTGGAGGGTTTTACGCTCCAACTCGGTTCGGTGCCGGTTCCCGGGAGCGGAGCGGGGCCGCCTCCAGCCCCAGCTCGGCAGCTCCGGCCACGCCAGGCCCGCGGCCGTTGGGCCTGAGGGGGGAACGGGGCACGGACCGGGCGGGGACCGCACCGAGCCGGGCCCTCGAGGGGCCATGGGAGGCCATGAGGAGCCAGGAGAGGACCATGAGGAGCCATGAGGTGCCATGAGGGGCCATGAGGAGCCATGAGGAGCCATGAGGTGCCATGAGGGGCCATGAGGAGCCATGAGGGGCCATAAGGTGCCATGAGGGGCCATGGGGGTCCCCGCTCACCCGCCGCGCCCGCCCAGCCGCTCGGCTCCGCCGCTCCCGCCGGCGGTGAGAGGGCAGCGGCGCTCGGGAAGTGACGGGAGGCAGGGGCGGGACGGGGCGGGTTAAGCCGGGCCCAGTTCCGCGTCGTGCCGGGCCCTGCGGAGCTGCCGGCGCCGAGCGCGGTGAGTGCGGGGCTGGCGGGCGCCTCCTCCTCCCCTCCGCGGCACCCGCCCGGCGCTGCCCGTCCCCTCACGGCGCGGGGGGCTCCGCCGCCACCCCGGCCAGGGCACACCCCACCCCGGGCGGCTCCGGGAGGTCCCGGGGCACCGTGACCCGGCACTGTTGGACAGACCGGGGGATGGGAGAGACCTGGCCCTGGAGCCGCGTGTGGGGAGCGGGGGGCGGGAGGGAGCGCGGTGAGGGTGAGGAGGGGAGGTCGCTGTTCGCCGGCGTTCAGGTTCTATGGATAAATTGGTGTGGATAAATGAGGTGCTGCCGGCTCGTCCCTCTGGGTGAGAGCGGCTCTGCTCCCTCAGCACGCCGGCAGGGCTGGGATGGACTCGCCCCGCTCTGCTGGGTGCGGGGTGTCGGGACCGACGCGCTTTGTCCGCCTGCCCAGCAGGAATTACGGTGTTGGAACCACCAGCGTCCTCCATCCTAAGGGCTGCTCGGGGTTTTCGGGGTGGTGAGGCCCAAATCCGTGGGCATTCCTCGTGTTTCTTTTCTCCTGAGCCGGGGTTAAGCCCCTTGCTGGTGTGTCTGGTTTTCAGTGCTCTGGTGTTTACAGGAGGTAATAAAGCAGCAAGATTCCCAGCTTTTGTTCCAGTTGTGCCTCCTGGATGTTTGGCAGGTCATGCGGGTGACCCGAGGGAAGGGGCGATAAGTGTTTGATAGCAGCTGTTTGTCTACAAAGTGCTGTGAATGAATCCAGGTTATCCCCTGGTTATCCATTTCTTCCCGGCTCTCTGCTGTCCTTGTTTTCTCTGCTCTCTGTGCTTACCAACAAGTGGGTATCCTGGTTTAGTTAATGGTGAGAATGTGGGTTGAGGTGCAGAAAGTCTGATGTTACTCTCTCATGCCTTGGAGAACCCGTGTTGTGGATTTTGGTGCTGTTCAGCTGCCAGGAATTCTCTTCTAAGATTGTCTCACCTGCCAGACAGGTCGATTTGGGGGTACTGCTGTTAAAAATTCTGCTCTTTAAGGGTTGTTTTGCTGGGTTCCTCGCCTCTCTGGGGGCTCTCATGCTTTGCAGCATCCTGCCTCATGATAACACATATCAGCTCTTCTTAATGCTTTAATTAGCTCACTGAAACAGGCTTTGTTATCCCAGTCCTCTTTGCTTTCAACCCATTCTTCCTGCAGCCTGGAACAGCCCTTGCCTTATTTATTCCTTACTGGGTAAGTGACAGCTGTAATGGCTTCATCCCGTGTTTTCCGAGGAGGGTTTGGAAACCCAGTTGTGCAATGGGAGGTGAGCTCTGCTGAGTAATTTGAGCTTTGCTCCGTGTCCTACTGAGCAGCTGAAATCAGGGGTGTCTGCAATTGCTGTGGGGAAGGGGAGGAGGAGACTCAGTGCCTTTCAAGTGGGTGGCAGCAATGAGGAAGGTGAGTTCACCGGGAACAAGTCTCTTAGCTGGAGTGTTTGCATTATTTCCACCTTAAAGCCTTTTTTCCTGTGATCTTCTGAATGTTATGAATGTTTCTGACTGGACCTCTGCTCAGAATGAGCTGTGTAATCAGTGAGTGTCTGGAAATCTCGTATTTCTTAAAAAAAAATCGTGGATTTAAAGCAAAAAACCCTGCAGCTCCTGGTGTGTGGTGATGGGAACCTGCAGGTTGGAACTTTAACTTCTGATCCTTGTGGGGAAGTGTGAGCTGGGTGGACTTTGCCATCCCCTGAGCACAAAGGGCACAGCCTTGAAGCTGTTGCAACACTTGAGCTTTTTGTGTCCCTGTTCCAGGGTGAACTACCCAGACCTCGCTGGGTCTGGTGCTGCCCTGAGCAGAGGACCCCAGGAGGCAGCAGGATGTTGTTAGTGAGGCAGGCAGTTGTTCAGTGTGTTTAAACTGATGGAAAGAATGTTCTCCTCTCTCCCAGGGCTCAGAACCCGCCTCTGTGAGCCTCCTCTGGGCAGAGTGTCCTCACCAGGGCAGGTGGAGTGTGTGAAATCTGAATTGCTTCCACTTAGAGGCTGTTGGTGTCTGTAAAATGCAGGACTTGTTGCCTCAGGAGCTCACTTTGGGCACTGTGTTCTGTGGGTTTTGTCGGGTGCTTCTGTCCATGCCCAGCTGGGCAGGCTCAGGCAGCCCCCTGGGAGGGAACTCTCTCCCAGCGCTTTCAAAAGAGGATCAAGGCAAAGTTCCTGCCAAATCTGCACTGGCTGGAAGGCTCAGGTGGTGATTCTTAGGGCTGGGGTTATGTTTTAGCTCTTTGTTCTCTCCTGGTCCAACTTTAGCTGGCCTGTTTTGTGCAGGAGGTGTGCTGGCAATTGCTGTGCCCTTTCTTCCCTCGGTGCCCCGGGAAGCTCAGGGAGGGTGACAGGACAGAGCTTGACTTCACCTTCAGAGCTCAGGATGCATCTGAGGGCTGAGCCAAACACCTGGGCAGTGTGTGGGCATGGATGTCTGATCAGCCCTCTGGAATTAAGGATGTGAATTAGACTGTGTTTAGTCACCTGAATATTAAGTTCCAGTCTGTCTGCCAGTGCTCTGTGGCCTCTCTCTCCAAAGCCTTTTCTCTCTGCCCATCCCAGTCTTCCCAAGCCATCACTTTTGGTGAAAGTTTTCTGCTGGGACACAGTGAGATCCCTGCAAAAACCCAAACAATGTGTATTTTTTATTTTCCTACCGTCTTCCAGGACAGTTTAATGTAGGTGGCCTTAATGGCAGGGACAGAATTTTAGTAACCTCAAAAGAAATTCCATGGCATCCCTGAAACTCAGGTTACAACAACATTAAATGAGTCCTTCCTAAAAGGTGTTCCAAAGTCTCTGTACTGGGGAAAAGAAAATAATGGAAATTTTAACTCTAAATTGTAAGAGGATTCTTTTGAAATGGTATTTGGGTAGGAATTGGAAAATAGGTCTGGTGTACAGAGGCATAACCCACAAAATGGAAACCTGTGGTCTTTAACTGAATTACTTTCCCTTTGAGGGATTAAACTATTTCAGTTAGAAAAACAGTTTGAGTATGGGAATAAATGCACTCCTATCAAAATAACCCATTATAGCTAAATCTGTGGGGATTTGGGCCATCTTTGAGATGTGCCCTAATTTATTTTAATTGAATGCTTCCCAGGGGTGTTAAAGGACTGGGAAAAAAAACCCAAGCAGTTACTTCTTCTATTTTCTGCTGCCTCGAGGAAAGTTATTAACCTCCAGGAGAGGGGCTGTGTCAGTTGTGTCACATGATGGACAAGTGTTATCTTGCTCTGCAGGGACAGGAGGGCTGCAAGAGGAGCCTCTCTGGGCTCGAGAGCCGCAGAGCTGAGCACGGAGGTGGCTGTTCCACTGCCTCTGGATCCTGGGGAAGGAGTGGAGAGGGACAGAGCTGAAGGGCAGGTAATGTTTCACTTCAAAACCGATCCCATCCTTTACCTAAACGTGCTCATGGGCCAGGCAGCCTTTGGCTTTGGAGGGAAAGTGCTCTCCAAACTTAATTTATTCCCTGAGTGCATCGTGTCTCTGTAGAGCAGTTGATGGCTGAAACAAACCCCTGGCACAGGTTTAGTCTGGTTTAGTGCAGCTCCTCTCCCCCCTGCAAAGGCTGGGGTTTAATCCTTTATTCCTGTGTAACTGAAGAACAATGATGTAGAGAAGGAAGGAGGAAGGGTTATCAGAACAGCTGAGCAGAAAGAAGCAGCAGGATTGGGGTGTTTGGCTTCAAATGCCAGGAACAGCACGAGACTGGGAGTGTTGTTGAGGTGCTGGGACCAACAGCAGCAAAATGCTCCAAGCTCTGGGTGTGCCAGCTGTGAGAGCAGGAACTGTGGTGGGGGTGAGAGCCAGGGCTCCAGGACTTCTTTGGCAAAAAGAATTAGTGATTCCAACAATGTCTGGGGAAGCAGGGAGGTCATTAAAACAGCCTCCTTGTTGTTCCAGCACGTTGGAGAAGAGTCCTCCGAAATCCTTAGTCCAGAGCAAGAGCCCCCTTCTGCTCCTCCAAGTGAGAGTGCAAGCACCCAAGTGCCTCATCCAAACCTGTTCCCTTTCTGGAGGTGCCCCCAACACTTGGGTGCTTCCCCAGCCTGCCCAGAGCCTCAGAGAGGAGCCTTTTGTCTCTGATTGCAGAGAGCAGATCTTGCAGTGCCCGATTTTGTCGCGTCCTCCTGCTCCGAGAGCTTGCCTTGCTTTGTCTCACTTATGCTGAGAAGTGCCAGTCACAGTTCCCATCAACCCTTCTTGTTGACCCATTCTCATTTCTGACTGGCAATAATTGTCTTTTCATTCTTGCTGCTTTGGGCTGCGCTGGAGCCCAGTGGTGCATTGTGGGCTCTTTGTTCAGCCCCACAAAGCAGTTCTTGTGTGAGCACAGCTCTAACAAATGATCTAAGCCACCCTCATACAAAAACTGGTCACAGTTGTTTTTCTCTCTCTTTTAAATAGTTTATTTTTGTGTTTGCTGGTAACTACTCCATGTAGCTGGCAAACTTATTTTTTAGGGATGAACTCTTGTCTTTTTTTTTTTTTAGTCAGCAAGTGAGGTTCTGTCCAGCAGCTGGAATTTAATTCCCTGTGGTGAGCTCTCCTGGATTGGGTGTAGACTTGGGAATATGGGCTCAGTTAATGAAGGGTGACTCCATTTTGGGGCAGACTCCCCCTCCAGTTAATCCCTGGGGGGAGGAATTAGTGCAGGACTGGTGACTCTAACGGGCATCAATCAGCACAGCAGATCAGGAGCCCTGAGCTGGCTGCATGTGCCTCCTCCAGCCCCTTGTGCTAAGATGATTTAAGTATAATTAGACCTGGATAAACCAGGGAGTGATTCCTAAAACCAGGAAAGGTTTGCTCTCTTGAGTTGCCATGTCATAGGTGGCCAGTTCTCCCAAGTCAGCTGGAATTTTAAACGGGAATTTTTAGAGCTGTTCTGCAGGGTGGTTGAACCTCCTTACCAAGTATTCCTCTCTGCACAAGTGTGGAAGGGGATTATTCATCTACTTCACTGTAAATGTTGACTTGTGTGCTGGAGGTGGTGTTATGCAAAGCTAATCCTGGATTAGTGCCCTGCCAGGCAGGCAGGGGAGAAGTGGCTGTGGGAGCTGCCACACCTCTGGAACAGCACCTGAGACCCCCAGGGATGGAGAAATTCCATGGATTGCAGTGGGATCTGTGTTGTGCACAGCCTGGCTTTTGGAGAGCAGTTTGTATTCCAGTCACTGAACTTCCTTGGAATGTGGTGGAGCTGAGAGCAGAGACCAAACCAACCGGGACTTGAACTTTGGAGGCTGGATTTGCACCCAGAAAAAACGGTGGAATCCCCAATGAGGACCATGTGGCTCCCACTGAACTTTTTGTTGCTTGGGTTTTTTGGGGTTTTTTTGGGTTTTTTTGCTGTATTTAAGTCAACCAAACGTGACTGAAGTTCCCTAAAGCAGAGCACTGGTTTTTTGGGTGGCTCTGTGCACATCTCTGGATGGCTTTTGCTTCCTGTGGACAGCAGGGTTTGTACCTGGGGGGGTCCAGTTTCAATATTGCCCTCTGCAGTCAGAGCTGTGTGTGTGTAAATGTGGGTGATACCTGTGTGTGATGCTCAATGTGTGTATTTAAGCTCATATTGCCTATTTTCTAAAGCAGATATTTAAATGTGCAGCAAAGATAAGCACAGGGAAGTGCAGTCAGTAGAAATGAAACACTCCCCATCCCCAGGAGCTCGGGTCCTGCTGGAATTGGGGGATGGCTGAACATTTGAGCCTTGCATTGCCATCCTCAGCTGAGTGCTGGGGTAACTCCACCGACCTGCAGAGTGCCAGCATGGCCTGAAGTGCCCTGAGGAGAGGGAGAGGATCCCGTTTCCCTGGAATTTGACAGGCAGTTGGGAGCAATCCCTGGGTTGCAGGTGATTGCAGTGATGCTGTCGAGCTCCCACTGCAGCAGCTCGTTCCCCTTGTCCTTGGCTGACTGTGGAGCCCTTGGCATTTTTCACAAGCAGCCTCTTTTATTACTGTGTGTTATGGCTTTTTTTTTTTTATAGCTGTTTTATTAATTTTTCTAGGTGGTTTGGGTACTCTGGGGCTCAGGTTGCAGTGAATAAAAGCTAACAGGCCTGAGATTATTTTCTGCTGGCTGGTTTAACTGGGCAGAGCTCTGTTTCTGCACATTCCATGTCAGGAGGAGGTGCTGGAGGAAGGACTCCTTGGGACCTTGATGCTTTTAACTACTGACTTTTAACTAAAACCCCTTCCATAACCACATTCTATCTGGCAATTCTGTGTGTGCTACAAGTAATGCACGAGCCTTGTACCTGTGTGGAAGAACATCTGGCTTGTGAAACCCTGGAAATATTAAATGCAGTGTCTGAAATCTTTGAAGGTTTTATTTTGGAATGTGACAAAATTATTGCAGTCTGAATCAAAAGGGGTGATCTCACTGCTGTTTACCAAACCTGAGTTGCTGCTTGGCCCTTGAGCCCAGCATAAATCAAAGGGGAAGTATTTCTTCTGTAGAAGTTTAATTTCCTCCACTGGACAGTTTTATATTGCACTACTTTTCTTTCCAACAAAAGCAGCATATCAAAAACTGTAAATCACCTTTGCTTACAGGGAGAAATGCAGTGCAAAAAAAAGATATTTTAGCTTTTGGGGGGACCCTCTTTTCCAAAAGAGAATTCCAGATTTAAGATTCAGGAGAGGGTTTTTAAAGCAGGGAGTCAGACTGGCCACTCTCTGTGTGTTTGGTTGCATAAGAATTGTCAGCACTTCAGGTCTGAGATGGTTTTGTTGGTTTGTTGTTTTTTTTTTTGAGGCAAAAAAAAAAAAAGAAGCTCTTGCAACATTCTGGTTTGTGCTGGCTTTTAGTTCTTGCACTATTTACTCTCCTGGATAAGGGAAAGCTGCTCTGTTGGGTTTTTAGGGCTGATCTCTCTGGAGAGAGGCTGAACCAGCAGAGAGAAAGGACATTTTGGGAAGGGCCTCCCCTCACACAGCCCTTGTCCCCTGAAGAGTTTGCCTTTCCTGGTTTGCAGATGCCAGGCTGTGCAGCTGCAGCTCTTGTTGTATCTCAGTTACCAGCTGAGGGTTAAACTTTTAGGCTGGGAGGTTTCTGAGCTCTCCTTGCACACCTGAAGCTTCAGTGCCGGGGTGAGAACCATCTGAAACTCCTCCCTGAGGATTGAAGTGAGGTCTGTGTGAGGCTCTGCTGCTCCTGGAGCCCAAACAGTGGGCTGGGTCGTGGAAGGGATTGTTTAAGGAGCTTTTGTGGGGTCGTTACGAGTGAGGGAGTTTTGTCATTGGAGTGAAAAATTTAGAATTGCGTGGGTGGAAATGTTTGAATCTCTGTCACTCGGGGGAATGGAATCTGTTCTCCTGCTCAGGGGTGGAATGCAGGGTAGCTGTGCTTTGGGTTGGGAGAACTGCTGGATCCTTGGACTGTGGAGTTCAGGGAGTCTTCCAAACCCAAACCTCTGTGCTCTTTGCTTTTGCCCTGCCTCAGATCCCCCCAGGAGAGTGATCGATGAGATGGCAGAGAATGGAACAGACTGTGACCAGAGACGCACGGCCATGAGCAAAGAGCAGCACAACGGCAACTTCACAGGTAGGTGGGACTCACCTGCTGAGCTCAGCTGGCCACCTGGGGGGCTAAAATGACATCACACTGAAAAGGAAGCGAGGTTGGTGCACTTGGCTGGGGCCCTGAGCATCCTGATCTTGGGAGTGGCATGAGGAGCTTGGAATGGGATGGGTTTTAAGGCCCCTTCCAACCCAAACCAGTCTGGGATTCTGGGATTCAGTGACTTTATCCCACATAACGTGAAGGGCCTCAGTGCCTGAATCAATCTTGGGAGCCTCAGTCATCTCTGAGCCTCAAGTCTGCAGGATTTATGCATTGTAAGGCCATGGAGTAGTTTTGTGCTTCCATTTATATTCCCATTTCCCTAACACTCTTTTCTCCTGCCAGAGTTCAGGCAGGTTTCAGCCCTGTAAAGCTGCCTCAGGTACCAACAGGGGCTGCCCCAGGGCTGAGCTCAAAACCCAAACTCTGTTGGCAGCTGCGTGGCTGGAGAAGTCAGGCTTTGTGCAGCCCCACCCTTTGGCACTGAAAACTTAGCACTTGGTAATAAAAAAATCTGTTTTACTCTGGGAGAAATCCAGTTATTACCCTCCCAATTTCTAGCTCTCTTCTGTTGAAATTCGGCTTCGCTGTAATTTATTGGTTTCCAGGATGAATGGCCACCAGAACAGCTTTAACTGCTTCCCCTCCTGCCTTGCCTCTGCTTTTCCTGCTGCTGTGCCTGGAGTGGCCTGGGCTTAATGCTTGGAGCTCAGAGAAATAACCCAAAGAGGTTTGTTGGAGAGCTCTTGTGTCACCCAAAGATCCGTGCCGGGTAGGAAAGCGTGGAAATTAAAATCATCTTGGTTGGTTTCCTGTCAGCTTTTGGATGTGCCACTTCCATGTTAATTAAGTTTTGTAATCAAGCGATTTCTCAAGTTGTGTTCAGCCTTACCCCATTGTCTTTCCTGACCTTTACCAAAAAAAACAAGGTCGTAAAAACAAGGTTGGAGCGTTTTTGTTGCGCTCATTGAGTGAAAAAGCAGAGAATTGAAATTCGTGAGGCAGCGAATGCAGCGAAATTTAAATATTAACTCTGTGTGTGTGTGCAAGGAACAAATCAAAGCCTTTTGCTGAAAGGCTGAGATCATTCTGTGACTCTGAGGGAACGTGGGGGTTATCCTGGGTTTGCCATTGTGGGATTTCTGTTAGTTCATCTAAAGCAGCTGATTTTGGTTTTTTCTGAGGAACACAAACTGGAATGGGCTGTGTGAATAACAAGGTGTGCAACTCCTGTGCAAATACCTGATAAGGATAAGACTGAAATGATACATCTTGGCTTACAGTGTGCCTGGGGTTCAGGTTAGGTTAATATTTTAAATACAACAGCTCTTTCTGAGCCTAAAATGTCTGAATATTACAGTGCCAAATAGAACACATGTGTTTTGACTGTGCAGTAAGGGATGTTTAAACAAGTTTGGTGTCTGTTTGGATACAAGAGTTACTTTTGGGTGTTTTTTCCATCGTTCAGTGGTATCTTTTCCCTCAAAATTCCTTTCCTCTAAAAGTTCAAGAATTATTACTGCTTTTTAGCCTGGTGACCTTTGAGCAAGCCGTTCTGCCCCAAGAAATAGCTGGGCTTTGGGGTTTAATTCAGCTTGTTTTAAGCACAAAATAACACTTTTATTGGAAGAACCTTTCTTTCTGCACTTGTGTGGCAGTGCCTGGTGGTGAGCTCTGCTGTAACCAAACCAGCTGCACGTGTAGTGCCAGTCCCAGGAATTTAGATATAAATATATGGATAAAAGCAGGTCCTTTCCATGGGAGCACCTTGGGAGAAGCTGAACAGTGTGCCCAGGCTTCCCAGAGCCCGAGGCTCCTGCCTGGGAGCAGGTGCTGTTATCCAGTTACAGGGAGGATGGAGAGCCATGGAATTCAATCCTGCTCCCTGGAAGAACTCTGGAACAGCTCTCTGGGAACGGAACCCTCCTAAAAGTTCAGGGTGAAACGTGTTCTGCACAGTGCTAAAGTCACACTTGACCTGCTGGTTTTAACTCCTCGTGCAGGAGAGGCTGCTGGGGATGCCAGACCTTTGGCACTCCGAGCTGGTTGGATTTTTGGAGCAGTCACCTACGTGGATGGACAAACCACCTCATCCCTTTGCTGGGCATTCCCGAGGCGCCCGGAGCAGATGCTTTGTGAGGGGTAGAAAAGATGGCTGAGAGCTCACCTTAACTTCCTAACACATTAAAAAAAAAAAAAAAAAATCAAGGTATTTTTTGGGTGGGGTAGAACCTGAACTGCAAACCTCTGCTTTTACTGATTTATTTCCTTTTGGTTTGTTTTATTTTGGTGTTTTTCCCCTTGCAGATTCCTCTGTGCTGAGCGAACGGAAGCGCAGGGAGCGGGAGGAGAGGCTGAACATTGTGCTGTGGAAACAACCGCTTGTTACCTTGCAGTATTTTTGCCTGGAAACTCTAATAAACTTGAAGGAATGGACCATAAAGTAAAGACCATTTCTTTAACTTCTACTAAAGCGTTCTGGGGAAACCCATGCTCTGATTCAGTAGGTCATTCTGACATCTCACTTTCCCTCGGGATTCACAGCTTGAAAAATCTTTTTTTTTTTAATATATATTTTTTTTTTCCAGAAAGTATGTGTGTTTTTGTCCCTCAAAGGTGGCTTTGGAACACACCCCACTTGTAGCTGGGCACTCAGACCTTCTGCCTAAGTTACATAAATGCAGTGAGGTGTCCATGGGAGAATGGAAACTTGAATATTCCGGTTTGAAGGAGAGGGACGGTGTTGAGGGATCCCTGAGGCAGGAGATACTCGACTTGTGGCTGCAGTGTTATAAATACTGACCTATTAATGGAGGTGTTGGTGTCACTGAACGATCTTCAGGGCAGGGCTCAGGCTCAGGTGGAACTTGCTCTGGTGTTTGTGGTGCTGCAGAGAGGACTTTGCTTCTCTGCAGGTCCTTCCCCAGCAGGAAATGGTTCATTAAAGCACTGAGTGTTATTTTCACACTGGATGAAATTGGCTTTTATTCCAGCGAGGAATTTATTTATTTATTTATTCCTACCATTCCCTGCTGGTGCTGAAATGCAGAGCTGGTTGCTGGTGCACAAGGCTCGAGGCTTTGGGGTGCCAAAACACGAGGACAATTTACGGTGAAAGTGCCAGGAGCGGCAGCCACGCAGGGCTTGTGTTGGTAACTGGGCCCTGTTGTGTTGGGGGTTGAATTTACAAACATTTTCCCAGTGAGAGGACAGGATCTAACCCCCTCTTAATCCCCTTTCACACCCCACACCCCCAGAAAATCTCCTTATTTCACTCTGTGCATTCTTTCAGCCACCGTGGAATTGTCTTTGAGAACTGTTTTATTGACTCCAGCCATTTCTGACAACCCCCAAGCTTTCATTTCAGCCCAGCAGAAATAACATTTGAGGATTTATTTTAAGACCTCCAATCTTATTTGGCTTCCTAGACATCAGATTCTGTTACAGGCAGCACTTGCCTCCTCTGCTGAGCTGCACACTGGTGTTGTCTGCACACAAAATAACCCTGACTATTACAAGCTATTAAGTTGAGACCTCAGATTGACTCTTAATGATCTCCTGTGTTCCACTGCATAAATTGTGACTTAAATGGCAATCTCTTGAAAATCCAATTGTCATGCTAATGCAAGCGGCACTAACTTTAATTTTAAAATAATTCGAGTGCTTTTTTTTTTCAGTTTGCTTAATATAAAACATTTGTGACTGTTTTCCTCTGTTGTCTCATGTTTCTGTCTTTCTCTGTCTGATTAGATAAGTTATGTTCATAGTCTGCTATTAGAGTCTGAGAATGTTAAGTGATGCCAGCTCTTGCCTTTTTTTATATATCATTAGTGACAACATAATAGCAAATAATCAGTGTGTTTGCTAATCTGCTGTGTGTGGCCACATAAACATCAAGCAGAGAAAAAAAAAACCCAGTAAAACCAAACAGGCTCAAAAGTGATTTGGTAGCAAATGGCACTGGAAAACATTTTCTCCCTTTACTGCAGTAACTTCCTAATTAACTCAATGTATTTATTAAACTTGGAGCTGCTCAGAGATATTAATTTCAACTATCAGGGAACCAAACTAATGCCAAGGTGTGTCCCTGTGGGAATGGCACTTGGGAATCCCCCCTTGCCCAGGGTCGGTGCTGAGCCTGCTTTGCCACAGCTCAGGCCCGTGGCTGACCCTTGGCTGCCCAGGCTGAGCTGTCCTCACACTGTGTTTGTTTCCAGACAGTTCCTTTGTTTCTCTTTCTGTAAGAGCACCAAACTCTGCGGGGCTGAGCTTTGATCTCGCTCCGCAGCCAAGCAGAGGTTCCCCCCCAAAGAGTGAAGGCTCCCCAGGTATTTTCCTGGGACCTTTCTGCTTTCATGATGGCAAACTTGCCATTGGCATTGCCCCTGCTGGCAGAGCCAGTGTGCAGGGGCAGCTCTGAGTGCGTGGTCGGTGTGACAAACCCTAACTGTCCCTTTGTCTTTAAGATTGTGGCACCGGCGGAGCATCCTGGTGTGTGTTCTCCTGGCACTGGCCACGCTCACAGCCACCTATTACATCGAGGGAGCTCATCAGCAGGTAGGAGACTTCACAGCTGCTTTCCTGGGTGACTGATGCTCCCTGTCCCTGAATGGGAGCTGGATGGGATTTCATGGAATTAGAATGTGTCCTTCCTCTGCCGTGCCGTGACTCCTCCGCTGTGTGCGGATGAGCTGTGGCTCGGAGAGGATGAGCTGCGTCCTTTGGTCTGTTCTGCTGGATCTGTGGGTGTTGCACCTCTCATCTGCTCTGAGCAAGCACACCTCAGGTGCTGAGCAGTCCCTCACATCTGCTGTGAAGGAGTGGTGTGAGCTCCCGAGGGGTGACGTTAACCTGAGTCACGGGGGAACTTGGCAGTTCCCAAGAAATTGTTCCTTCCATTCCTCTGGAAGGGTCTCCTGACCAGTTAAATTGACATATATAGAGGTATAAAACAGCTTCATGGTTCAGATCTGCTTCTGTGACACCTCTCATACCCCCACTGTTTTCAAGTGCTTGTTTAAAAACTTGTGGTGAAGGCAAAGACTGAGGCTTTTGCGTCACTGGGAGTGTAAGACATTGCCATTGGTACCACTATCATGCAGATAAATGTTTGTGTTAGTTTGTAGGTTTAATTTTCTCCCTTGGAGATATCCTAATTGGCTTTTTTTTTCCTCTTCTGTGACTCCTTTTTCAGTATGTGAGGTATATGGAGAAGAAGTTCTTCTGGTGTGCCTACTGGGTAGGACTGGGCATTCTGTCCTCTGTTGGCCTTGGAACAGGTCTCCACACCTTTCTGCTCTATTTGGTAAGGATATTCCCTCACTGTGTTCTTTCTGAATTGAATATTTTAATTATTATATATTTTTTAAGAATAAATAAATATTCTCTAAGTCCTAAACGTGAAGTACTTCTAAAGGAAAATAAGCTCTGGTGAATGCTGTTCATGTTCTATACTGTGTCACCTGGTTTTGTCGTTTTTAAGCTCTGTTTTTATTCGTCTGGAGATATTAACCTGCTGTTTAATCCTCACTTTGAAACACTGAGTCAAAATCTGCCAGCTCTGTCCTCTCAATTCCCTGATTGAAATGAAGTGTTTTCTAGCGTGTGCAGCTCAAATGTTTCCATTTAACATTTTTCAGCATATTTAAATGAACATTTTTCTAACTGAAACAGGCAGCTGGTTTCAACTTCAACCTGTGTTAATTTTGCTTTGAAAATAATGGGAAGGAAAATGTTTTTCTACTGAAGATAAAGTAACTTCTGAAAATTTGTGTGATGTTGTTTATCTCGGCTCAGCTAAGAAAGTCAGGGAAATGCTTGGGTGTGTTTTGCTTTTGGCCATTGGATTAGTTCCTGGTTTATGAAACCACTGTCCTGGATTTAAGAAAAGGATTCATGGCCACAAAATAATTGAAACCAGTTTATGCAGCAAATGTCATCTTGTATTTGGAACAATTACAGATGTTTACTTTCAGAGCTGCTTTAATCATTAACAATAACACAGCAAACACTACAAGAAACAAGAAACTCCTGCTTTTCCCCACAGCAGGGCAGTGCCTGGAATATGGGGTGGCATCTGCAGGAGCCTCAATCTTGGTGTAGCTTCTGTCCTACAGACTGTGGGGGCAGAGAGCACAGGGCAAGGACCTTTCTTTGCCTCTGTGTTTGAAAATCCAGGTGTTTAAATAATTCTAAATTACTTCGACGTGGGAAAATTAAATTTCCTGATGCATCACTTCCATTGTCCTGTGGGGGGTGTGAGCCTCGTGGATGTGTTCAGGCCATGACCTGAGCTGACACTGAAGTAATTTATACAGAAATACATAGAAAATGTAACTTCTCTACTGTCTTATCAGTCGAGTTCGTGGTGGGGGTTTAGGAGGTGAACAGCCTTCCAAAGATTACCAGGAAAGAAACTGATTTAACACTATTAGGGAAGGCATTTATTTGGAATCCAAGAGGGAAATGCTTCACTTAAATTTGTGACGAGGGGGGAAAACAGCACAGATTGCACCGAAGAATTAGGAGGTGGTTATAGAATAAAACGTGCTAAGAAGGCACCATCAGACCAACACCACCCGGTGTGTGACACTGCAGGAGAAATAGGTGAATTAACGCTCTGGAGGCCCGGGCAGCACCGCAGGGTTTCCAAGGAGCTTGTTGCCACTAGATGGCAGCGGGACTGTGAGAACAGGACTGGGAGAACGGGAGAGCCCGGCCCCGACAAACCGCGCCGGGTCCCTGAGTGTCCCTGTCGCTGCAGCTCCATCAGCCATCTGTCCCTGGGATGGGTTATCTGCTCCTCCTGGGAGCTGCGGGAGAGGGAGCACGCAGCACGGACACGAGGGGAAAAGCACTTCAGGTTGATATTCTGGGTTTAACCCTTCTAGGAACAAAGCAATCAGGAGCTTTCAAAGGGAGGAATTCCTAGCTATTTTGCTTTGTTATTTGTGCAGCAGTTCCCTCTAAAAGGAGAGAGGTGGCAGGTGAAGTGTGGAACTCACTACGTTAACTTTAGCATTACTGTCTGTGTCTTTTTCATGTCCCATATAATTTAATTGCATTTCTCCATTATGCTAAAACTCCTCTTGACTCAAAGAAGAAGTTACAAAACAGAGCAAGCCCACCCCTGCTCTAGTGCCTGGATTGGCTGGCAGTAGAGAACAGAGCCAGCTAAGTGCTTTCAAATTGCCGTTAATTAATTGCTCATTTTAAAGCTGGATGTACAGGGAGATTGTTGGGAATGCAATTACACGCTGGGAGAACAATGCCCGTGGGCCCACCCATGTGCTGCTGAGCTCCTGGGGAGTCTTGCAGCCTTGTCTGTGCCACGGAGGGCACATCCAAGAGCTGATGGCATGTGGGCACCTGTTCAGGCTCCTGCAGCCATCCCACAGGTGCATCTGGATTAAACACACCCCTCCAGTTGCTGGCTCTGGGATCCCCATCTCAAACTCGTGGCTGTCCCAGCCCAGGGCAGGTCACAGGGGTGGTTATGCAAGAGCTGCAGTGTATGAATGACTCTCATGTTTGCTTTCCCTGGCCTGCTTAGCTGTTTTTCCAGTGTTGAAAACCTTCATTTGTCTGGATTCTTCAGAGCATCTCTCACCAGCTGCTCCCTGGAGCCACGTGTGCTCCAGTGCCAGGAGAGATCCCGGGCTGAGCCGAGGAAAGCTTGCTTAATGTACAATTTACAGTTTGAAGCAGCCTCGGTGTGGGAGGGGGAGTTACTGCCCCAGGTTCACTTTGGTTCACATCTGATTTGCATTTTTTTTCCTGCTCACCAGGCCTTTCTCCAAACATCTCTGTAAGAGGGAGGGCTCAGTGGTGTGTGTTTGACAACAGGCTTTTTCCTGCTGCTCCCGGCATTCAGGAACTTTCTGTACTGTACAAAGAGCCTCAACACTGCCTGCACTGCTGGTTCCTGGTTTGTTGCTGCTCCCTTAGCTGTAGCCAGCACTAAATGTAGGATTTGACATGTCTTTCTGGGCAAGCCATCCTCGTGCTGCACTTGGCACCGAGCTGGGGGCTGGCACGGAGCAGATCAGGGAAGCAGGCCGCTCTTCCAAGAATCCTTCTCACTCTTGACACTTTCAAAACAAGTCTGCTGGCTTCTTTTCCTCAAGCCCATTAAAGGTTTTTCGCAGTTCTTTAAAAAAAAACCAGCCCTTAAAAATAGCGATCGTGATGTGGTTCTTGTAGGAAATAAAACTATTATGATTAATGACTCTAAATACTGTTTTTAGCAGCGCAGGGACGGCTCTTTCCTCAGTCCTGAGAGCTTTTCTCCTCTCTTGGTGGCGTATTAAAGTATGAGCAGCATGAATCACCTCGTCACCAACAGAGGATGACTGAGAGGAGCTTGTCAGGAGTTCTGGTGTTTGTACATCCTGGAGGGGGAGATGCCGGGATGAGGTGGATGATGGGATGAGGTGGATGCCGGGATGAGGTGGATGCCGGGATGAGGTGGATGATGGGATGAGGTGGATGCCGGGATGAGGTGGATGCCGGGATGAGGTGGATGATGGGATGAGGTGGATGCCGGGATGAGGTGGATGCCGGGATGAGGTGGATGATGGGATGAGGTGGATGATGGGATGAGGTGGATGATGGGATGAGGTGGATGATGGGATGAGGTGGATGATGGGATGAGGTGGATGATGGGATGAGGTGGATGATGGGATGAGGTGGATGATGGGGTGCTCTGCAGCAGGGACAGCAGGTGGAGTGCTGGGCTGGGCTGGGCTGGTGGGCCATGGCCATCCCTTCTCAGTGCTCTGCCCGTGCTTTGCTTTCATTCAGCTCTGGGAAAGGGATTGTGAAAGATGTGGCTGAGGCAAAACGAGCTCAGAGCGCGTGGTTGTCGCTCGATAACGTCCCCTCTGTGCGGATGTTCCAGTCCGGGATGGGACGAATGGAAGCGAATTCCTCACCGCTCAGGAGCGCAGAGCGAGCTCTGGCTCTTTGGTTGTTTGTGTTTTTGGTTCCTAAACGTGGTTTGGTTCCTCTGCTGCTGCTCCAGAGCCAGGTGGGGCAACGCTGCAGGGGTTTGTGCCGTGGGTGAGCAAACAGGAACCGGCAGGGACGGCGTCGATGGTTTGTGTGCCGATGGTTTGTGTGCCGAGGCCACCCCAGCTCTCCACGGCTGGAATTTGGCACTGAAAGCCACTGTTTCTTCCTGGGCTGTTGTGCAGCAGGGTGGGAGAGAGAGCACAGCAAAGATTTCAGAGCAGAAATGTGCCCCGAAGGAGAAGTGAGTCAGAAAGGCACTGACAGAGCCGGGTTTAGCTGGGCCTGAGGCCCCCGTGTCTCACTTTCCTTCTGAATTGGCTCCGGGTTTGGCCTCGAGGGGTCACATTCTGGCCTCTCAAAAGTGTCTGTTTGCAGCTGAAAGGAGTCGTGTTTTGGCCCTGCCCAAACTGGTTTAGGTTAGAATTTGAAGATTTAAACTCCAGACACTTGTGCAATAATGAGTCTATTATCCTGGGGGGAAAAAAAAATGTTTTTGGTGTAAATAATTATAGAAAACCCAAACCCACACAAATAAACTGTTTCCTGCCAGGACTACTTAAAAAGTTTTTCAAATCAAACTTAATTCCTTTTAGTTCTCTGGTTCCAGGAGCTCAACTCGTAAGGGGACTCCTGATAAAATTACTTAAGTCCCTCTAAAAAGAAAAGCTCACAAAACAGGGTTTGCTCCACTTTTAGGAAGTGGACAGGATAATTTGGAAATCCACAGAAATTCCTCTCATTTTTTTCCCCTCTATTTTCCCGTGACTTTAACACAGGAGTATTTTTGCAGAGATTATCAGCTTCAGGAGAGGTTTTGCTCTTTCCAGGTGGACCATTCCAAAACTGCTGTAAGCCCAGAAAAACCAGGAGTATCCGTGTGTGAAGGGACAAGTGAGACACAAAAGCTGAGCTGCCTCAGCCAGGTGGGAGGTGCAGCGCTGCTCCCCTTCCCAGCCCTGGATTCTTTGTGTGAAGTGAGGTGTTCATTCCCTCTCCAATTCACATGGCAACCTAAAACAAAGGGAATAAGTGGGTTTGTGTGCTGTCTGTGCTCAGGTTACTGCCACTGAACTGCCCAGGCAGCAGAGAGGAAAATACAGAGAGGGTGCAGGAGACAGAAATGAAGTCAAACTGAGTTGAAGCGAGCCTGTTTGTGTGGGGGTTGTTTGTGACTCTCGGTCTGTCCGTTGTTTCCTTTGTGCCTTTCCTTCCTCCAGCTGTCCTGAGCTTTCTACAGTGAGCTGAAATATCCTGGAATACTTGAATCAAGATGTGGTTTTTTTTTTTTTTTTTTAAAAATCACTTTTGCTGGCTATCTGGACAGGAACTCCTGCTCACAGCTCACCTGGGCTTGCAGCACTGCTGTTGATAATGCACTGCTGTTGATAATGCACTGCTGTTGATAATGCACTGCTGAGCTGGAGGGCTCTGGTGAATTAACCTGGACACTCACTGCTGCTGGATTAGCTGTGTAACCTGGGTGTTTTCTTAAACCTGCTGCTGGCTTGCTTGCACTTTAAAAATCTGGGCTGAAAAGTGGCCTTTTCAAGGAGCTGATGTGAGGTCTTGGTCCCCCTCAGTGCTGGATGTGTCAGACACCCAGAGGTACCTGCAGAGAGTAAAAACCAGCACTGCTGCTTTAGGTCAGGCTCTGCAAAACCAGCCCTTGTGACTGGTGCAGCTCGGTCTGGGAGCTGAGCTGAGCCCTGAACCTTGACAGGAGCTGAAGCTGAGGGTGGCTGAGGTTCTGTGGGCACAAGCCAGGCTGTTCCTGCTCTCCCAGTGCCAGGGAGAGGGGCTGTGGAGCAGCTGGAAGCAATAACCTCCCCCAGTGCCCCTCCGGGAACTGCCAGAGCTGGTGACTCAGAGCCCAACTGGGGTGACTGGGAGGTCCAGAAGCGGCTCCCAGGGCGTGGGGCAGAGTCTGGATGGCTCCTCTGGAGCTGGGACTGTGGCAGAGCACAGCTCATGGGAAGTGTCTCTGTCTGCACAGGGTGGGCTGCCCTGAACCTCTCAGACGTCCCCAAAGCGTTGATGTCACAGTAACGCTGGAGCTGTGCTGAGCCAGCTGCAGTGATCTGCACTTGCACAGGCTGAGGAGGCAGGGGGATGGTGGAGGAGTTAATAGGAGGGTGGTTGCAGCCTTTTCTTCCTCCTGAAGGTTGCTGGACTTTACCTTTGAGGTGCTGACGCCGTGTTTTCCTTATCTGCTCCCCGCTTCCTCCTGGCGGTTCCGGCTCAGATCTCTGCCAGGAGGGCACGTTGTGCTTTCTCCTCATTTGCTGCCTCGGAGTTTCTGCTTTTTTTCTTTTCTTTTTTTTTTTTTTTAATGCACAGCCTGAACTTTATCCTTTTTGTGTCGCTACTTCCTTGAGCAGGTTGGAAATAACGATAATCGTGCAAAGCCACCTCTAATTGGAGGCATTAAAGCCAATCACCACTGGCAGTGTCAGTTTGAATGGATGTTGTGATTGTTCCTCAGAAATAGTAAGCTGAGTGGAAGGGCAAGGAGAGAATACTGACTGATTATTTGTTTGCTGTCAGCACCAGAGGATAAACTTGGATTCTTGCAGTTGTGCCTTCCCCTGCTCGGGTCTCTCTGCCCCCTTAGAAAGCAGCGTGGGCACAGCCTCACAAAGCATCTGCTTTTCCTGTCCTCCCCAGAGCAGCCCCGTGGCCCTGCTGTGCAGACAGGGGCACCACGTGCCTGCTCCCCCTGGCTCTTGCTCACTCATCTTCGGAGTTTGTGGCTGAGGGGTTGGAATTTCCCCCCGCTCTGCCCTGCGGGGCAAGGCCTGGCCCCAAGGGGGAATAGAAACCACCAGCCCCGTGGTGATGAAATGAATCCAGGGCTGGGAATGGTGTGTTGGGGTGGTGACAGCAGCCCTGAGCACTGGGGGGGTGTCTGTGTCCCCTGTGTCCCCTGAGGATGCTCCAGGTATGGGATCCTTCACCCCATCTCCAGCCAGCACCACATACCAGACATCCTAGCGAATCAGGAGGCATTTTAATCTCCCAGCACAGACAGACAGACTGAATGGACATATTTACCAGCCACCTCCAGACCCAGCTTTTCCCTCTGAATCACCCAGCAGATTGCTCTGTGGGTAGCTGGGTGCTGCTGCCCCAGATAAACCCCGGGCTGTCCGTGGTGAGACCTTCTGGAGAGGTGTAATGACTTCACGGATAAGAATGGGATGAGTCGTGGCCTGGGGCAGCACTTGCAGGATGTTTCCCATGAGAAGCAAGCTTTTGTTTTTCCAATATATCTTAATCAAATAGAGCATGACATGTTCCCCCCCTGTGGAAGGGCTGAGTCTTGAACCCAGTGTGAAAAGCAGAGGAAAACAGATTTTTCGTGCATTAGGTTCAGCAAGGAGTTCAGTGTCATGTTTTTCTTGCTGGCAGACATATCACTTTTCTTTGAGAAACGCTGCTAAATTGGAGCCAGCCTAAAATGATATCTTCCTCCAAAATAAAAGGTTAAAATTAGATGTAGCTGTTCATGTGCAGGCTGAGAAGGGGCATGTGAGAACCCAACACTGGATCCGGGGTTTGTTTAGAGCTTTAATTGACTTCCCAGTCTGGGTGCACAGAATGATTAATAATGTGAAAATCTGATTGGTTTTTAATTGGATACTCAGCGACTTTTCCTGCTGGAAAAGGCTTTCTGTTGTAAGAATTACAGAGCTCAGCATGTTTTGAAGGCTCTCAGCTCCTGATTTTTTTTACATGTGGCTGGGCCGTCTCCTCCTACTTCGACAGATGAATTTCCAGGCATAATTTATAGATGAAAAGATTGTGCTTTCTAGAAATTTCATAAAAGAGCATTTAAAGTCACTTATTTCTGAGGATTAGCTGTGTCATTCTGACTTGGGTGCCTTCAATCACTGCAAGGAGACTCCTTTGAAGGCCCGTGAGTTCAAGAGTTCGACGTTACCTTCTCTCAGGGCTGTGCAGTGAGGGAGCTCCAAACTCCCCTGGACTGCTCCTGCTAAAAACCAGATTTATGTTGAGTTCATCTCCACGACCAGATCTTGTCTGGTTTGATTTGTAAATTGTACAGATATTTCTAGCACATCGCATTCCAGCCTGACCGCAGGCTCCTTCTGGTCGTCAGCAGTGGCGAGCGAATGTTTCTCACCCGAGTCAGCAGCGTGTTTCTCAATCTCTGCCCTGTTAGCCCTTGTTGGTGCCATTTGAAATTAAAGAAAAGAATCATTGGGAGAGGGGGAGGGAAAGGCAGTTGGCATTCAGGATCTTACATGCCTTGGATTTCGGGGACTCTTCCTGGTTTGGCGACGAGCTCGGTCAGTGAGATCACCCGGGCGTAGTGTTCGTTCTCTGCCCTGGTGGGGTTTGAGGGAGTTCTGGAAATGCTCTTTTGGAAGGCAGAGCTGCAGGGAGAGCCCAAAAGGGAACATCTTAGAGGGTTTCCCAAAGTGTTCAAACAAACTGTAGTGTTGCAGAGAGGCAAAACCCTGCACAGAGGAGGAAGGAGGAGAAGGTGGAGGGGGTGTTATTTGTGAAGAGGAGTAAAAAACTGTATATGGGAGTTAATCCTTCTGGCACAGGGAGGAGTACAGAGAAAACAGGAGGGTATTCTGTCAGGGGTTGTCCAGAGGTGGCACCTGGAGCGGGTTGGAAGTTGGTTCCCTGTTCCACTGGGAGTTAAATCGCTGCTCCTCCAGCAGAGTGGCACCTCCTCAGGAACCACCCGGCCACCCTCCCACCGCTCTGCAGCCAGCCATTGTTTGGAGGTGCTTGCTAACCAGGGCTTTGGGGAAGTCTCCTGCTCCTCTCTGAGCTGGAACAAAAGCAGATGTTGGGCTGTCTCTCCCAGCCGTGGGACGGTGTCCGGGTGACCCCCGGCACGGAGGGCAGGACGTGGATTGTTCTGCTTCCCTTCGGCTCGGGGTCCAGCACCCCACTCCTCATCGCTCCAGATGGGCTGCTGGGGCTTTGCTGCTCATTCCAGTCGAAAGTGTGGCTTCTGTGGCTTCCATAACTCCAACTTTTTTCCATTATAGGGTTGTTTACGTTGCACTGGAAGCATTACGGCCCGTTGGCCGAGGCTTCAGGTGGCTCCTTGGCCGTTTACAGCTGTTGGGGGAAATGCCTTTTTTTTTTTTTTCCATTGGCTGCTGCTTGTGTAACTTTTCCCCTCTGCAGACATTTGTTGAGACTGGGAGAGCTCTCCACAGGAGGGCTTTGGGGGTCATTGAGCCATTTCCAGGATGATGGGAGAAGCTGCTCAGGGCAAGAAGCTCACGCAGCAGCTCCAAGTTGGGCATTTTGTCCCGCTCTTCTGAGATTTTGGGATCTGCTTTACCCTCCCTGGGTGCACTTTGGAAAGAAATGCTGGTAATGGCACCACCAAAACCTTGTAAAGGGTGGGGAACTTGCTCTACCAGTGCTGAAATTTGTCTTTTACAGATCTAAAACTGGAACTCGGGGTCCCCTCCCAGCTGGCTGGAGCCACGCTGTGTCGTGGGGTGTCTCCCAAATTTGGAACATGTGAGGGGGTTAATCTTAACCTTTATCCCAAATAACACACAGTGCCATTGACTCACCTGTTTTTTTTTTCCCAGGGTCCACACATAGCATCAGTCACTCTGGCTGCTTATGAGTGTAACTCAGTGAACTTCCCCGAGCCTCCTTACCCCGATCAAATCATCTGCCCCGACGAGGGAAGCGCCCAAGGATCCATCTCCCTGTGGGCCATCATCTCCAAAGTCAGGCTGGAGGCCTGCATGTGGGTAAGGCTGGGGGGAGGAAAACTTCCCCCTAATTCCATTTATGCACTTAATTCTGGGTGCAGAAATGCACAAAACATCCTAAATCAGCCAAGTGACAGCAGCTTGCAGGGCAGGTGTGCCTGGTGAACCTTCCAGCCCTTTAAAATGTCCTTCCAGGAGAAGCAGTAGGATGTTGCTGGGATGGCTTTTACCTGCTGAATGCCAGCAGAAAACTCATGTGCTTGACCCCTGGTGATGCACAGGTGAGTCTCTGACAGGGGATCAGCCCCCCAAATGTTGTGGCAGCTCTCCCTGCCTGCACTTGAGCAAGAAATAACTCCAGTTATCTCAGTGCAGTGAAGCTGCAGTTGCTCACAGGAAGGACTCAGGCCCTGAAATCGCAGCTGAAATGGTTTTCCTGGCTTGCAGCAGTAGATTGGATTGAAAAAAGAAGTGTTATGTTGCACATTTTTACCTGTTTCACTTCCTTTCTCTGCCTGTTTCCACATGGCAAGCTTTGCTCTGAAAACAGGAAAGGCAGCTTGGAGTGAATCAGGGCCTTGGGAAACGCTGTCACTGGAGCTTCCTTTTCCAGTTTTCTCTTTTATTTTTCTCTGCAGTTTCTTGCAGGGGTTTAATTTTTGGAGGATTTTGGTCAGATAAGATGGTTTTTTCATTACACAGAGGTTATTTTGAATTGCAGTTTACACAGATGCATCTGCTGGGAACTACGTGCCAAATTAACTTTATTTTGCTACTGACTTCCTGCTCCAGCTGATGATTTAATTCCTAAATTCTTGGTTGTCCAATACAAATGCAGAGAGAGGAGGAAATTCTAAAAATACACAGTATCTGCTGTCTGCCCTTGTATTCTTTAATACATAAGACAACTGGTCATGACAACTTTTTAACTTCTCAGCAGCTGTGTTAGTCACAGAAATTCCAGCTGGGTTGTTTGAATTTGCAGATTAAAGTAACGTGTAGCAACACAAAACAGTCAAAACAGTAACAGAGAAAAGGGGACTCAAAGCCCTCTCAAGAAGCAAAATACACCTTAAAACTTCACTTCTGACAAGAGCACAGAATTGCCTTGATAAGAAACCAAACACACAAATACTTATGAACCTCTAAATAGAAGATTTCTTTTTATTTCCCCCACTCACCCCCCCATGCTGCAGTTTGTTTAATGGAGGCCAGAGTCATAAAAATGGCATCTGCAGTTACGTTTCTAGGGTTGCAAAATAAAAATGCAGCGCAGGGTAAACATCTCTTGCTTAATCCCCAGCATGCACAGGGGGAGCTGATGGGGCTGCAGGCACTGGGATCTCCCCCAGGGAGAACTCAGCTGGATCAGATGAGGGAAAGACAAGGCTGGAATATTTGTATCCCACTTTTTCCACTCTTTCCCCTCCTCCTCCTCCTTCTCTTTTTGCCTCCTTGCCCTGGAATTCCCTGCGAGTTCCCTTCTCCCTGAACTCTGTTCTCCGCTGGCTTTTCCCCCTGGGAGCATCCTCTGTCTACCCCTGGTGTCTAGAGCCATGTTATGCTTTCTTGGAATGTTTCATGAGTACATAAACACTGCTCACTAATTTCCTGTGAGCCAAATCAAGTTGGCAACTGCTGCTGCTTCTCCCAGCGTGTTTCTTTTGTCCTCATTCCAGTTCGCTTCGTGTGGAAGCCGCTGGAGGAACTGATTTTTTTTTTTTTTTTGGGTTCTGTCACTCTGAAATGAAATGTCCACTTAGGCAGGAAAAATCGTGGGGATTCCACAGAGTGAAAAGGCTGATTTTTTTGGGGAGTAAATAGAAAAAATAAATTGAATTTAAGTAATGTTTTGCTTTTGAACCGAATTCTGGATTATTTGATTGAATTCCTAATCTGGGTGGCAATGAGCGACCTCAGAAAATCCGTTTTTTTTTCTTTTCAATGAGATGTGAAGCTGGGAGAAAACACTGGCCAAATGCACAAGCAGAGGGGTGATTGGGTGTGTAGAGCTCAGCCTGTTTCCTGTGGACTTGCAGAGTGAGGTTTTGTTGAAAGGCCCCGGGGTGGACTCTGGCCAATCTTTGTGTTTGGAGGGGGACAGGAGGGTGGCAGCAGTGAAATGCTGAAAGCAGGTCGGTCCCACTGGGGACACTGCAGAGCTCTGACTAAAATAAAACCAAACAATCCAAACTGGAGCTGCCCAGAGCGAGGCTCCTGCGAGGCTGAAATGGGAGGATTCATCCACGCCGGGGGGTTCGATTCGGAGCTCGAAACCGTCGGTGGCTGCTGCCAACTCAGAGCAGGCTCAGGGTGTGCCAGGGATTAAAATCCTTGCTGGTCCCCTGCACGTCAGGGATGGCCCTTTGTGCTGACAGTGGGTGTTGGAGGGGATCAGATAGCTCTGCAGCCGAGGAATTACGAGGTGAGATGAGAACGATGCTTTTTGCAATCGCTCTGAGTTGGCTCCACCAGCCCTGGCTGCAGGAGGGCTCTCAGGAACAGCCTCAGAGGTGAATGCCATTTTTCACAGCCTCCCCTCCCCCAGGGACAAGGAACTCAATAGTGCCCTGTATTTTGAATGTGCTGCAGCATTTTTGGTGTTCTGTTTTGGGGTTTTTTTAACGAGAAGTAAGGGGGAAGAATAAAAGTGTTTAATGGCTGGGGATTAGCCGAGCAGGCCTGTGTCCTGAGCACCATCCAGGCTGATTAAAAGGCTCTTTCTAGTGGAGTCATTTCCCAGTTTCCTTTTCTGAACGTATTTGTGTGAAAGAATTTTGATTAGCACTTGCCTTTCCAGGTTTGTTGTTAGTCCAAGGAATCTCCCCTGTAAAACTGGCATTTCCCAGTCAAAGGGTGAAAACAGCCAACGTTACCAAAAGCAGTTAAATAACTTTGGATCCCTTCATTGCTGCTTTTTTTTCTTTTTAGGCACTGAAGGAACCTGTCTCCAGCAGACATGCAATCATATGATTTTTTGCTGCACTTCTGAAATGTTTTGTAATAATGAGCATGTGACTTTGCCAATTTAAAGCAAGTTCATGTCCAGTACACACATGCAAAACCTCTTCCTCAGTTCACACAACGAAGCCAAAGCAAATTGGCAGAGCCTGGAGGAGCAATGTGACTTTTTTTTGGTCTTGCATCACCCTGAGAACATAACCTCAAGTTAATTTTCCTGAAGTGTTGTTGCTACTGTTTTCAGCCTTATCTTCCCCCCCGGTGCCAGAAATAGGCAGATTGATGAAGTTCAGCTTGTTGTGCTCGTTTAAATCGTTCTGCTGTGGAAAATGAGGGCATAAACACGCGAGGCCACGCGCCCCGTGAGCCCAAACCCAGGGTTTAACAGCTCGGGCAGCTCTCTTTGAAACCACAACCTGTTGATTTGGAGTCAGCGCAGCAGCAGCTGGAATTCTTGCTTGCAGCTGCACACAGGGCAGGAACAAAGGAAGCTGAAAAGCTTCACAAGGAGTAGAAAAAAAAAAAAGCATTTGTTACTGGAGAGAAAAGTGTTTGTTATTGGAGAGAGAATCCATCTGCGAGGAGCTGAGCCTTGGCACATCCCCAGCCAGGCAGTGCCCAGCTATTGGCTCTTACCTGCCCTAAATTTAAACCATCCCCAGTTAATTCCAAGTTCCTGTTTCCTTAGCCCCTGTTTATCCATATGTTCAGCCTTGCTTTTTTCCCCCTCTTGGTTAAGCTAAAGTTGCCTTTTAAGCCACAAGATTGAAATGAGTCACTTGACGTCCTGAGAAAACAAATCTAATTTTCCTGTGGTGAAAAGCAGCCATCCTTTCATCTGGGCTTCTCTTGGCTGCACTTACTGCAGCTGAAGGAGAGGGAAAACCCGAGATCAAGCTCTGCTTAACCTCTTTCCCTTGCTCACAGCTGTAGTAAAACCCGAGCCTGTTTTCTAACAAACACTCGCCCCAAGTCCCATGACTGGACGAGTAAACTCCGTGACAGCAGCGGGGAGGAGCTCCCAGATTATTTGGGAGGCCGCTCGGGCTCGAGGGCTGTCACATGCCGCAGAATGTGTCTGGGATCATGTGGTGGGGCGAGACTGCAGGGCCCTGCTGAGTCAGGGATGTGGGATCTGCCCTGAGAGGAGCTGAGCAAGGAAAAGGGGCTTTCAGAGGAGCGGTTTTTTGTTTGAAATCGTGAAAAGTTTTCTGGGGGATGAGAGCAAACCTCTCCAAAACAGCTGCTCCTAACGGTTGGGACGATTTGAAGTGTTCACAGGGCTGTGCATGTCACGTGTTTTCTGTTTGAAAATGAGAATCCCTCTTTTCCCAGGGTGCTGGCACAGCCATTGGAGAGCTGCCCCCCTACTTCATGGCCAGGGCAGCCCGGCTCTCCGGTGCCGAACCCGATGATGAAGAGTACCAGGAATTCGAGGAGATGCTGGAACATGCAGAGACTGCACAAGTAAGAACAGTGCAAAACAACAATTAATAAAGCACGGGGCAGCTCGATGGAGTAAATAACCCCTTCCAATTAAACGAGAATGGGCCGAAAATCACTGGGTGGGAGGTCACGAGGGACTTCCCAGGGGTGGGAAAAGATCCTGCCCTGGGCAGAGAGACCTGTGGTGATGGCAGGACAAGGATGGGGCTTGTTGGAGCAGAAGCAACAGTGCAGCCAAATACTTGCTGCAATCACTGAGACTTCCAGGAACAGCAGAGAAAAGGTGGGGACACAGCAGGCTGAGAACTGGGGGCACAGGAGCTGCTCGGCCACTGCTTGGGCTGCATTTAGGGCCTCCTGGGCCAGGAGATGGTTTTCAGTCCCAGCTCATCCCTTCCAGGTGACATTTACCTGGCCACTGACACCCTCAGTGTGTGTTCCCTCAGCAGCTTGAGGGATCTTTTCTCCTGAGGTGAAAATGCACCCGAGCTGAGTCCTTTGTTGTCACTCTCTCCTTCGTTCCAGCACAGTTTGCAACCCCTGCTCTCCATCAGTCAGATGGCTTGTGTTGTTCTTGTGGCTCAGTTGTCCTTCAGGTCAGGAGTTTGCATCCTGGTCACAAGTTACTGATGGTGTTTTAGAAGAAATTAAACGTTTTTTCCTCATTCTCCTTGCCACTGAATTTTTCCTCTGTGCTTTTTTTCCTTCTTATCCTGTTTTGTCTGCCACTGAGTTGAAATCAGTCATGAGACTGCTGTTACAAACCAGCAGATGCTCTTTAACATGCACTGATGTCTCTGAGCTCTTCTGCCAGGGGAGTTTTTTCCTGGAGATAAATATATATTTAATTTTTTTTTTTTCTCCTTCAAAAAATGGATGAAGCTTTTCCGTGAAAGTGGTTTGTCTGGAAATACTAAATGCACTCTAGTAATTCTAACAGTAAACCCTGTGTTTCCTGAGAGCCTCCCCCTCCTAGAAAGTTCCAGAGGGTTTTTCTGCTATTACAAATAGCAAATTCTTCTATTTTTTAAAAAAAGATGCAGCAAGGGGAAGGGGGGGGAGAGAAAAACATCTTCTTTGTTCTTTCCTCTCTCATCAATCTTTGCTTTGCGAAGTAACCCCCGAGTGCATCAAATCCCTAACTGCATAAAAATCGAGTTGTGGTTAAAAAACCCACCCCAAACCCTAGCAGTGAAAAAGCAGTGGAGCCCAGGAGTGGAGTCCCCGTGTTTGCTGAAGCTCTCCCAGCGAGTTCTGCGTGTGAGAGCAGGGTGGGAGCAGCCAGAGCTGGCTTCCAGGACGCACAGTAAGATTCTTGGGCAGGAGATATTTTTTGTTTTTTTGCTAGAGAGCATTTTTGTCAGGCCAGGCCAAACTATAGCTGTACTGACTGCCCAGAGTAAACAAGTGGCCTTGTGGAATTAATGGAGAAAAATGACGCTGTTATTTACCGCTACTTTTGATTTTTATTTCCTTGGCAGTGGGGTTTGGATCGAAACGTGTTGTTTTGTGGATGGATGGCCAGGGAGGAGGAAAAAAAAAAAAAAACCCAACAATCTTTCAAACCCCACTTGTGGTTTGGTTTCTATAAACTCTTTTAACATGAGGCTTTGACAATCTGATTAAATTGTATTGTGCTCATAAAACTGACAGTTCAGTTTTTTCCATTTGCTAATGTGACTTCCTTTTTTTTTTTTTTTGGCTCTGCCGGTGTTTTCGCTGGATGTCTGTGGGAGACAGGCCTGCCTTTCCTCTGACCTCTGCAAATCCCCATCTGCAGCACAGCTTATCACTGCCTGTCCTGTCATTTCCATCCAGGAACGGTGCTGATGCCTGGTTTTAAGTTGCTCATTACCCGTTTTGTTACCTCCAGCAGCTTCTCCCACTCTCCCCGGGGTGGGGGGCTTAAGGAAGTGTGACAAGTGTCCTGTTCCCTGGGGGATGCTCCACAGGCTCGTGGAGCCTCTCAGCATAAAGCTCTCCTTCTGGCCAGGCTTTTTGCAAGGCCTGGGAATGGCTGTTGGATTTGGAAGAAGAGCTGGGCTGCTCTTTGCCCACGAGGGCAGAGCCCGATGGTTGTGACGTGGCTGTTGTGCAGGGAGAGCCTGTGCTGCTGCTTCTCACAAACAATGGGAGTTTGGAGAAACAGATGAGCATCTTCTCTGGTGAGAATAGATCGTGCCTGTGACATCCAGCCCCAAGGATCTGGGGAGGGAGGGGGAATGTGCTGCTGGCTGGGCACTTCAAAAAAAAAAAAAAAAGAACAAAACAGCCAAAAAAAAGGATTAAACAGCAGAAAAGGTTCAGTGCTCCAGTCAGAGTTACACAGGGTAAAATGATAGTTACTTTAAGGAGTCTGTTGATGGATTTTCTGCCCTGAATGTCAGAGCTGAGTGACCTTGAGGCAGGTTTTGAGAGAGCTCTGTGGCCTGCAGGTGATGTGTGTGTGTCTTGCACTTCCCATGAGCACCTTCAGAAAAAGCCCCTGGTTTGAAAGGAACACTCACTTCTCCTTTCCCCCTGTCCCTGTGGGTGCTTCCAGTTACATAAAAGGGAGGGTTGGAGCTTCTTGTGCCTTTGCCCTGGAGAAGGAGGGTGGTTCTGCACTCTGGGCTGCTTCCCCTCCCAGATCTGTGAGCGCTCAGGGCAGCGTTTAAAAACCACCAGCGTCTAAAACAGTATCTGTGTCGCCCTTAACTCTCTTGCAGTGGCATTCCAGAGGCAGGCAGTGTTTTATCAGAGCTCCCCTTTTAGCCACAGGGAGTATCTCCAGTGCAGCAAGCTCTCAGTCAGGGGAGGTGGCTGCTGCTCAGTGCTGGGGCAGCAGATTGGTGATGACAGTGCACACATCCTTTGTTCAGCTCTGTGTCTCCACACACGTGTGCAGGGACTCTCTCTTGCTGGCTTGTTGAGTTTTCCCATCGTTTCTCTGTCAGGCTGAAACACTTAAAGCTGAGGGAGGTTCCTGGTGAAAGCCAAGCTTTTTAGAGCCTGCTGACAGTGCTGGGCCTGGCTGTGTCTTGGTACTCCTTGCTGATGAGGGGAAAGTACTGATATCTCCATGCATATCTAACCCTTAATGACTGTGAGTGTTTGGCTTCATTAAGTGGCACATTTTTAAGGACTAATGATTTACACACCGGGCTCTGCTCCTGTGCAGCCTCGGGGCAGCCAAATCCCCATGGAAAAATATTTTGGAGTTGCCTGTGTTACTATCAGCCACTGCTGTTTGTTTGCTTTCCAAGCTGGATCCTGCCCCTGGAAGAAGAGAGGCTTGGGAAGGGGTTAAATCCATGGAAATGCTGGGGGCTGCAGCGGGGCGGGTTTGGAAATGACTGGGTGCCATCTGCACGCTGGGTGTCAGTTGTTGCTGGGACCTGTTTTTTGCCTCCACTGAACCTTTGCTGGTTGTGGTTTGTCTGGCCATCACATGACTTCTCTGAAAATTCCCCCTCCCCTCCATTTCCAGTAAACTGTTTGAACAGGAGTGACTCAGACTGAAACCAGCTTCCCTGTAACCACAGGGCTTGGTAAAGAATTTGTCAACGTGGACTCAAGAGGGTTTGTATTAAACCGAGCTTGCAACTGCTTGGGGTTGCGTCAGGAGCTCCACAGAGCGACTTCCTGCCCTGCAAGGAGTTAAACTGATGAACTTTTGCGATAGTGACACTTGGACACACGTTAATCCCATCTTTCCAGCGTTCCTGAGAGCCTCCCCCCCCTCCTCCCCTTCGGCTGGATCGCTGCTTTTCCACCTCTTCGCGTGGGGTTTTGTCTCTGCAGAGGCAGAGCAAAGTCCTGCCACACCCAGCCCAGCGCTGTGTTCTGACACGGCACGGTGACTTCACTCCCGTGGAATGGCTCCATTCCACTAATGAGCACAATCTTAGTTAATTAGCAGGCTAAGAGGTGGCCAAATTAAAAACGGATCTCTCCCGTGATTCAATTCACAGCTACTCTCGGATAGGTTTCCTGCTTGGAAAGGGTTCTCTGTTTGCTGGCTGGTTGAATCAACATTTAAGGGTATTTGGTGCAAGGGAAAAAAAAAAGAAGTTAAAGCAGACCACAAGCAGATTTTTATAAAGCCCTTATCACAAAAATGGAAGTACAATGACTGGGAAACCTCAACTTCTTTTTTTTTTTTTTTTTTTTTTTTAATTTTTGCTTTCCCAGAACTAACTTGTTTAAACTGAACATCAGATTCCACTCATGGTTTCTCTTGCTCAGTCTTCCAGTCACCCCCTTCCCTCATCAGCTTCCCCTCTTCATTAATTGTGCTGCAATTAATGGGTGGTCATCAGGAGGCTGGTCCTATTTGATGCCTTGTTTTGTTAATTAGTTAATCTTGCCTCTCTAATCTGTAATTAAATAGAAATTCAAATCTAATCAACCCTCGAAGCTTCACTGTAGAACTCTGTACCAGTGAGGTGGTGAAGTGACAGGGAACTGATAAAGTGTGGTGGGTTTTCCACAGGCAGCGTAACCCAGAATGATCTGAGTCGAAATAGGTCCTGAAATGAGTCAATGAAAGCTTTAAATAAGGGAACCTCATCTCGAGAACTTCCTGAGAAAAGAGGTAGCAAAGAGTTAATCGAGGCCAGAGGGGAGACAATGGGAGCTGTGAGTAACCCTGAGTGTGTGAGCAGCTCTGGGCACTGGCAGGAGCACTGATTGTCCTGTTCCTCTGCACACCTGCTCAGATGGGGGAAAATCCAGCAGTGAGAGCTGCATTTACTAATCCTGATGGTGAGCTGGAGGTGACTTTCTGACATTCTGCTGCAAAGGCCTCTTTGTGGCAACGCCTGTTCCCTCAAAACTCGCTCACACAGCCCCCTGTTATCTCAGTGCTCGGTGTGTCAGGGCAGAAATCAGAAGTTAGGGGAGAAATCCGAATCACTCTGCGACATTTTCACTCAGTGTCAGGTCAGGAGGGTTTGGTTTTTTCAGTGACAAATTTCTCACTTGACAACACAAATGAGAAATGACACAAATGAGAAATGACATCCCCAGGGGTGCTGGAG